CTGGGGGTCCGTGGGGCCCCTCAGTGATGGGGCTCTGGGTCACTCCCACTCTGGGGGTCCCCACAAGGATGGAACCCCCGTCACTGCACACTGACAGCCCTGGGACAATGGCCTCAGCCCACGCTGGGGACACCCCAGTACTCACAGCAGCTTTAGGGGGTCCCCCTTGTTCCCCTCGGGGTGGGGCTGGGGCACTGGCAGCCCCGTTCCTCTTGGGGACAAGGACAGCAAGGACAGGGACAGCCAGCCTGTGTGAGGGGGCTGTGCTGATCTCCCCTTCCTGTCCCACAGGCAGGGTGACACAGGGGATGGGGGGACACTGCAGGGGACACTGTCACTGTGGGGACACTGTCACTGCAGGGGACACTGCCACTGTAGGGACACTGTCACTGTGGGGACACTGTCACTGCAGGGGACACTGTCACTGTGGGGGGGACACTGTCACCATGGGGGACACTGGGACTGTGGGGGACACTGTCACTGTGGGGGGACACTGTCACTGCAGGGGACACTGTCACTGCAGGGGGACACTGTCACTGGGGTGGCACTGGGACTGTGGGGGACACTGTCACTGTAGGGGGGGACACTGTCACCATGGGGGACACTGACACCGTGTCAGTGTCAACATGTCATACTGGGACTGTAGGGGGACACTGTCACTATGAGGGGACACTGTCACAGGGAACAATGTCACTGCAGGGGACACTGTCACTGTGGGGGGATATTATCACCATGGGGTGCTGTATCCCCGTGGGGTGCTGTGTCCCCATGGGGTGCTGTGTCCCCGTGGGTGCTGTGTCCCTGTGGGTGCTGTGTCCCCCATGGCTGCTGTGTCCCCATGGGGTGCTGTGTCCCCGTGGGTGCTGTGTCCCCGTGGCTGCTGTGTCCCCATGGGGTGCTGTGTCCCCGTGGGTGCTGTGTCCCTGTGGGTGCTGTGTCCCCATGGGGTGCTGTGTCCCCGTGGGTGCTGTGTCCCCGTGGCTGCTGTGTCCCCATGGGGTGCTGTGTCCCCGTGGGTGCTGTGTCCCTGTGGGTGCTGTGTCCCCATGGGGTGCTGTGTCCCCGTGGGTGCTGTGTCCCCGTGGCTGCTGTGTCCCCATGGGGTGCTGTGTCCCCGTGGGTGCTGTGTCCCTGTGGGTGCTGTGTCCCCCATGGCTGCTGTGTCCCCATGGGGTGCTGTGTCCCCGTGGCTGCTGTGTCCCTGTGGCTGCTGTGTCCCCATGGCTGCTGTGTCCCCATGGGGTGCTGTGTCCCCATGGGGTGCTGTGTCACCGTGGGTGCTGTGTCCCCGTGGGTGCTGTGTCCCCGTGGGTGCTGTGTCCCCATGGGGTGCTGTGTCACCGTGGGTGCTGTGTCCCCGTGGGTGCTGTGTCCCCGTGGGTGCTGTGTCACTGTGGGTGCTGTGTCCCCTGGGTGCTGTGTCCCCGTGGGTGCTGTGTCCCTGTGCAGGCTGTGCTGCTGCTGGTTGCATGGGGGGCTGGTTCCCTGCCCTGGTGCCAGTCCTGGGGGTCCCGGGGGGTCCCGGGGGTCCATTCCAGCCGGTTCCCCCCCCGGCCGGGCCTTACCGCCTCGAACTCGGCCTGGTCATCCTCGGGCAGGTCACTGGTCTCGTACACATCAGGCTCGTTCCGGGCCTGTGGCACCAGGGGCTGGGCTGGGACCCACAGCTCACCCCCACACCTCATCCCCCCCCATGGACACCTCTGCTCCCCCTCTGGACACCCCAATGTCCCCACACCTCATCCCCACGGACACCTCTGATGGGCCACATCTCCCCATGGCCACCCCAATGTCCCGACAGCCCTTGCTGACTGCCCCCAAACACCCCAATGTCCCCCCAGCACCCCGACTCACTGCCCCTGTCCCCTGACCTCCCCCAGTTCCCACAGTCACCCCAAACACACGGGGTGCTCCCACCCCCCGGGGATCTGTGTTCACCCCATGGACAGACCCACAGACAGACAGGCCCTCCCTGGCACCCCAAACCCCCTCCCATTACCCCAAACGTTGCCAACCCCCACACTCCACTGACCCCTCAGCTCACCCCCAGATCTTCTCACAGACCCACAACCCCCAGATTCCCCAAATCCCCCTGCTCCCCAGACCCTGTCGGTCATTCCAAGCTCAGACCTCCCAAACTGACTTGGTCCCTGCTGCTCCTCAGCCCCCCCAGTGCCTTTGGACCACCTCAGGACCCCTGAGTCCCCCAATTCCCTCAGATCCCCCCAAACCACTCAGAACCCCCAGCCCCTGCCAGTGCCCGCAGATCCCTGAATCGCTGCAGATTCCCCAGGATCCCCTCATCACCCTGAGACACCCCATGGCACCCTCAGATCCTCAAATCCCTGCAGATTTCCCCCAAATCCCTGCAGATTCCCCAGGATTCCCTCACCACCCTGAGACACCCCACAGCACCCTCGGATCCCCCCGGCCCCTCTCAGAGCCGCCCTTCTCCCACCTCCCCAGTCCCTCCATGTCCCACCGGTCCCCTCCTGTTCCGAGATGCCCTGGCCCCCTCAGACCCCCTCAGACCCCCCGGCCCTCTCAGACCCCCCAGTCCCCTCTGAGACCTCCTGGCCCCCTCAGACCCCCAGATCCCCGCAGTTCCCTCATTCTCCCCCAGGGCCCTTATCCCGCTTGACTCCCCCGATCCCCTCAGAGCCCTCAGACCCCGCTGATCCCCCCCGGCCCTCACGATCCCTCAGAACCCCCGAGTCCTGATCCCCTCAGAGCTCCCCTGATCCCCTCAACCCTCCGATCTCCTCAGAGCCCTCTGCACCCCTCAGATCCCCCTGAATCCCTGGCCCTCCGATCCCTCAGAGCCCTCAGCACCCCTCAGATCCCCCTGAATCCCTGGCCCTCCGATCCCTCAGAGCCCTCAGCACCCCCAGGCCCCCGATCCCCTCAGACCCCGCTGATCTCCCTGGCGCTCCCGACCCCCTCAGAGCCCTCAGATCCCTGATCCCCCCAGACCACCCCTATCCCCTCAGACCCCTCATCACCCCTCTGAGCCCCCCGATCCCTCCGATCCCTCAGAGCCCTCAGCATCCCCAGGCCCCCGATCCCCTCACACGTCCACCGATCCCCTCGGACCCCTCAGCACCCGCAGGCCCCTGATCCCTTCACACCCTTCAGCACCCGCAGGCGCCTGATCCTCTCAGACCTCCCCGATCCCCTCAGACCCCTCATCATCCCCAGGCGCCTCCATATCCCCCTCAGACCTCCCCCGATCTCTCAGAGCCCTCAGTATCCCCAGGCTCCTGATCCCCCCGGCCCTCCCGATCCCTCAGACCCCTCAGCACCCCAGGTCCCTGATCCCCTCACTCCCCCCATAGCCTCCCACATCCCCTCAGAGCCCCGGCTCCTCCCCAGCCCGGCCCCTTACTCACGATGCCGGGCAGGTCGGCGTACTTGGGGTCGGCCATGGCGGGGGCGGTACTGGGGGCCGGTATTGGGAGGTCGGTAATGGGGGTCAGTAATGGGGGTCGGTGTTGGGGGTCCGTGCAGGGGGGGCCGGTGCCGGGGGGTCCCGGAATGGCCGCGCAGGGCCGGGGCGGGGCCGATCTCGCGAGAGCAGCGCGGGGCGGAGCGAGAGGAGAGAGCGCAGGGGCGGGGCCGGGCGGGGATGGGGCGGGGCCTGATGGATGGGGCGGGGTCTGATGGGGCGGGGCCGGGGGCGGGGCCTGAGCGAGCAGACGGGGCGGGGGCGGCACTGGGGGGACAATGGGGGGACAATGGGGGGGACAGGGGGACACACGGACACGAGGGGACAGTGGGGGGACACACGGACACGGGGGGACAATGGGAGGATAGGGGACACGGGGACACAGCACCCCACGGACACGGGGGGACAATGGGGAGACAGGGGACACACGGACATAGCGGGGACAATTAAAGAGGGCAGGGTACACATAGACAAGAGGGGACAATGGGGGGGACAGGGGACACACGGACACGGGCAGGGCATGGGGGTACAAGGGGGACACACCGGGGGTGAACAAGGGGCGGGGAATGGGGGGAGACACGGGGGGTGACACAGAGGGTGACACACGGATGAGGGCACACGGGGACACGCACGGGGACACACATGGGGGGCACACGGGGGGACAAGGGGCAGACACAGGAGAAAACCTGGGGGCGGCACAGGGGCTGACAGTGCGGGGGGGACGCACGGGAGGACACACGAGGGGCACACGGGGAGCACAGCGATGGGGGGACACGGGCCGGGCTCACGGGTGAGGGCATGCACAGGCCGGGTGGCACTGGGGGGCACCATGAGGGTGTCCCGGGCTGTCCCCCATGGTGGGGCTGCCCTTCTCACCGGCGGGAGACCCCCGGGTCAGCTCCGGTGCCCCCCGGGTCAGCTCCGGCCCCCCCCGCCGTGTTTGGGGGTCACCCGCAGGGGGCCCGGGCAGAGCCCCCGCTGTACCGGGGGGGGGGATGAGTCAGGACCGCGGCCCTCCCGCGGGGGGGGCACCGAGCAGGGGGGCCGGGGGGGGGCGCTGGCCCGGCTCCCCCTCCCCGTCCGCACCCCCAGGGTCCCGTCCTGCCCCCCCCCCCGCCGTGAATCAGCACTTTGGGGGGGTCCATCGCGCCCCCCCTCAGTCCCGGCCACCTTAAGAGCCGCGGGCGGCTCCACCTTAAGGCGGGGGAGGGGGCGCGGGGGGGCGGCCCCCCCCCACCCGCCGGTGCCGGGGCTGCAGTGGCGACAGCAGCGGTCACAGGAGCGGCGACAGCGGCAGCTGCGGAGCGTCAGCCCCGCCCGGCGCCGCCTCCCGCATCCTGCAGCCCCCGAGCCGCATCCCTGAGCAGCATCCTGCATCCCTGAGCGGCATCCTGCATCCCTGGGTACCACCCGCAGCCCTGGGTACCACCCTGCAGTGCTGAGCGGCATCCTGCATCCTTGGGCAGCATCCTGCATCATTGGGTACCACCCCTGAGCAACATCCTGCAGTGCTGAGCAGCATACTGCATCCTTGGGCAGCATCCTGCATCCCTGGGTACCACCTCTGAGCAGCATCCTGCATCCCTGGGTACCACCCGAGCAGCATCCTGCATCCCTGGGTACCACCCGGGCACCATCCCTGAGCATCACCCCGCACCCTCGGGTCCCGCTCAGCACCCCCGGGGTGCCGCCGTGCCCGCCGGTGCCCGCTGTCCCTTAGGCTGTGAGCAGCGCCCCGGGTGACCCCCCCGGCCCGAGCCCCCCCCGTGTGGAAGCCCCCCGAGCCCCGGCATGGCCGAGCCCAGCTCCGAGTGCAGCATCAAGGTCCTGTGCCGCTTCCGGCCGCTCAACCAGGCCGAGATCCTGCGGGGAGACAAATTCCTGCCCGTGTTCCAGGGGGACGACAGCGTCGTGCTGGGGGTGAGTCACGGGGGGGGCAGGGGCGGGTACCCCAGCTTGGGGGGCGCTGTCATTTGTGGGGGGGGGCAGATCGTGTTCTGGGGGGGGGGGGAGGGAAGAGCTGCTGGGTGTGGCCGCTGCCCCCCGGGACCCTCCCCATGCTACCCCCCCCCCATTTCCGAGGCTCCCGGCGCTCCCAGTTTGCCCAGTGCCGGTGGGGGGTCGCTCCCAGTTTGCCCAATACCGGGGGGGGGCGCTCCCAATTTACCCAGTGCGGGGGGGGCGATCCCAGTTTGCCCAGTGCAGGATGGGGGCGCTCCCAGTTTGCCCAATACCGGGGATGGGCGCTCCCAGTTTGCCCAGTGCAGGATGGGGGCCCTCCCAGTTTGCTCAGTGCGGGGGGGGCGCTCCCAGTTTGCCCAGTGCCGGTGGGGGGGCATTGCCAGTTTGCCCAATGCCGGGGGGGGGTCATTGCCAGTTTGCCCAGTGCCGAAGAAGGGGGCGCTCCCAGTTTGCCCAGTGCCGGTGGGGGGGCATTGCCAGTTTGCCCAGTGCCGAAGAAGGGGGCGCTCCCAGTTTGCCCAGTGCCGAAGAAGGGGGCGCTCCCAGTTTGCCCAGTGCAGGATGGGGGCGCTCCCAGTTTGCCCAGTGCCGGTGGAGGGCACTCCCAGTTTGCCCAGTGCGGGGGGGGCGGTGTTTACATGGAGCGGACACGCCCTGATCTCCCGGGGGGGCCCCAAAACAGCCGCGGGGGGGGGGGGCGATGCCGCAAACCCCCCCGCCCCCCCCCCCGCGCTGCGGCCCTGCCCTTTGTTAGGGGCTCATCCTGGGGGGGGGTGAGACCCCCAAAATATCGGCCCCCCCAAAATATCGGCACCCCCAAAATATCGGCCCCCCCCAAAATATCGACACCCCCAAAATATCGGCACCCCCAAAATATCGGCACCCCATAACGGCCCCCCCCCTTGTCTGAGGGGTCTCTGTGGGGGGGGAAGAGACGGTCCCGGGGGGACAACGGGGTGGGGGCGCGGGGGGGTCCGTAAATGGGGGGGGGAGGTCCGCGGATGGGCGGTCCTTAAATGGGGGTGTCCGTGGGTGCAGGAGGGGTCCGTGGGTGCGGGGAGTGTCCGTGGGTGCTGGGGGGGTGGGGTCCATGCATGGGGGGGGCAATGGATGTGGAGTCCGTGGATTGGGGGGGGTCCATAGATGGGTTCTCCATAGATGGGGGGTCCGTGGGTGCGGGGGTCCGTGCACAGGGGGCTCCGTGGGTGTGGATGGTCTGTAGATGGGGGACCCGTGGGTGCGGGGGGGTCGGTGGATGGGGGGTTCATGCATGGGGGGTGTCCGTGGATGCGGGGGGGGGGGGGTCTGTGGATGGGGGGTTCATGCACGGGGGTGTTCATGGATGCGGGGGGGGTCTGTGGATGGGGGGTTCATGCACGGGGGTGTTCATGGATGCGGGGGGGGTCTGTGGATGGGGGGTTCATGCACGGGGGTGTCCGTGGATTCGGTCTGCCCGCCCGAGGCTGTGTCGGTGCGGCGGTGCCGGCGCAGTGCGGGGGTTGCGGGGCTGCGGGTGCGGGGGGAGCTGCGGGGTTGGCGCTGCGGGTCGGGGCTGTGGGGCAGGGCCGGGGGGCGCTGGGATGGGAGTGCGGGGCAGGGGAGGATGGGGGTGCGGGGGGTGCGGGGGGTGCGGGGGGGGTGCGTGACCGGCAGCGGGCGGGGCCGCGGAGCTGCGGCGGCTGCGGGGCCCCGGGGGGAGCGGGGGCGCGGGGGTGCTGGCACCGGCTGTGCCCGAGCCCCCGAGCCCTGTGTGTCCCTGTGTCCATCTGTCCCCGTGTCCGTGTGTCCCCATGGCCCTGTGTCCCCGTGTCTGTCTGTCCCCATGGCCTTGTGTCCCCATGGCCGTGTGTCCGTGTGCCCCCGTGTCCGTGTGTCCCTGTGTCCGTGTGTCCGTGTATCTCCATGTCCCCGTGTCCCTGTGTCCCCATGGGCCTGTGTGCCCGAGCCTCCCGTGTGTCCCCATGTCCGTCTGTCCCCATGTCCCAAAGTCCCCGTATCGGTCTGTCCGTGTGTCCCCATGTCCATCTATCCCCGTGTCCGTCTGTCCCCATGTCCTAATGTCCCCGTATCCGTCTGTCCGTGTGACCCCATGTCCGTGTGTCCCCATGTCTGTGTGTCCCCATGTCCGTGTGTCCCCATGTCCCAATGTCCCCGTATCCGTCTGTCCGTCTGTCCCCGTATCCGTCTGTCCGTGTGACCCCATGTCCGTGTGTCCCCATGTCTGTGTGTCCCCATGTCCGTGTGTCCCCATGTCCCAATGTCCCCGTATCCGTCTGTCCGTGTGACCCCATGTCCGTCTGTCCCCGTGTCCGTCTGTCCCCGCGTCCCGGCTCAGCACCGGGGCCTGGACAGCTCCCGGAGTGGGAGGAGCTGGGGGGGTCTCCGGGGGTCTCTGGGCGTGTAGGGGGGTCTGGGGGTGTCTGGCTGTCTATGGGGGCTCTGGGGGGGTCTCTGGGGTCTCTGGGGGCCATCGGGGGTCTTTGGGAGTCTCTGGGGAGCTGAGGGCTCTGACAAACCACAGCTTTTATGGGGGCTGGGAGGGTCCCTGGGGGTCTGGGGGGCAGCTAAGGGGTCTGGGGGGGCTATGGAGGGCTGGGGGCTCTGCAGGGTGCCTGAGGTGCCCATGGGGGTCTTTGGGGGACTGGGCACCTATGGGGGTCTGGAGGGGTCTATGGAGGGCTGGGGGGTCTGTAGGGTGGCTGGGGTCCCTAGAGGGGTCTGTGGGGGTCTGTGGGGGGCTGACTGTTCCGTGGTGGTGTGAGGGGGGCTAGGAGGTCTATGAGGAGGCTGAGGGGTCCTTGGGCTGTGGGGGGTCTGTGGGGAGTTATGGGGGAGTCTGGAGAGTTTTGGGGGTCTGTGGAGGGCCCAGGGGTCTGTGGGGTCTATGGGGAGTTATGGGGGTCCATGGGGATGTCTGGAAGGTTCTGGAGGTCTGTGAGAGGATTTGGGGGGTCTCTCTGTGTGGGTACCGTTGGCCGGGGGTGTGCAGGGGCTGGGTCCCTGAATGGAGGGTTCGGGGGGGTACGGGGGGTACAGAATGAGACCCCCCAGGTACCCTTCCCTTACCGGGACCCCCTGAAGGGCCCTGAGGCTGCGCCAGCCCCCAGAGCCTCGCGGGGTCCCTGTGGATGGTACAGGGGGGTCTTGGGCCGGTGCCCCCCGTGTCTGTGCCGGGGTCTCTGCCCGGTGCCCCCCATGCCTGTCCCGGGGTCTCTGGCTGGTGTTGGGGGGTCCCTGCCCGGTGCCCCCCGTGTCCCGGGGGAGGTTTCTCTGCCCGGTGCCCTCGTGTCTGTGCCGGGGTCTCTCTGCCCTGTGTCCCCGTGTCCCGGGGGGGTTTCTCGGCCCGGTGACCCCATGTTTGTCCCCTGTCCCCCCCAGGGCAAGCCGTACGTGTTCGACCGCGTGTTCCCCCCGAACACCACGCAGGAGCAGGTGTACCACGCGTGTGCCATGCAGATCGTCAAGGGTGAGCGACAGTGGGGACAGCGAGGACAGCTGGGGACACAAGGGGCCGGGGACAGCGTGGGGACAGTCTGGGGACAGCCCTGGGTGGGACAGCCTGGGGACAGGGCGGGGAGAGCCTGGGGAGAGCCTGGGGACAGCGGGGACAGTCTGGGGACAGTCTGGGGACAACCTGGGTGGGACAACCTGGGGACAGGGCAGGGAGAGCCTGGGGAGAGCCTGGGGACAGAGGGGGGAGAGCATGGGGACAGCGGGGGTGGGACAGCCTGGGACAGCCTAAGGACAGCGTGGGGACAGCCTGGGGACAGCCTGGGTGGGACATCCTAGAACAGCCCGGGGAGAGGCTGGGACAACCCGGGGACAGCCTGGGGACAGAGCAGGGAGAGCATGGGGACAGCCCATGGGGACAGCGCGGGGACAGCGCAGGGAGAGCCCAGGGACACGAGGGACAGCCTGGGGACGGCCCTGGGTGGGACAGCGCGGGGACAGCGCGGTGTTTGAGTGTCCCGGGGATGTTTGGGGGTTCTGGGGAGTGTTTGGGGGTCCCGGGGGTCCCCAATCCCCTCTCTCCCCCCCAGATGTGCTGGCCGGGTACAACGGCACCATCTTCGCCTACGGACAGACATCATCGGGCAAGACCCACACCATGGAGGTGGGGGGCACTGGGGGGGCATGGGGGGCACTGGGGGAACTGGGGGGGGCTTTCGGGGAGCACGGAGGGGTGTGAGGGGCACTGGGGGAGTTTGGGGGGCACTGGGGGGACACTGGGGACACTGGAGGCACTGGGGGGGTTGGGGGAGCTTTGGGGGGCATGGGGGCACTGGAGGCACTGATGGCAGTGGGAGCACTGGGGGGGCTTTGGGGGGCACTGGAGGCTTTAGGGGGGCATTGGGGGCACTGGGGACATGGATGGCACTGGGAGCATTGAGGGGGTTTTGGGGGTCCCTGGTGGGGTTTTGGGGGGCACTGGGGGGGCCCTGGTGGGGTTTTGGGGGGCATTGGGAGCACTGGGGGCTTTGGGGGTCCCTGGTGGAGTTTGGGGGGCATTGGGAGCACTGGGGGCTTTGGGGGGCCCTGGTGGGGTTTTGGGGGGCCCTGGGGGGGGCCCTGGCTCCCGCCGGGGGTCTCAGCGCCCCCCGCCCCCCCAGGGGAAGCTGCACGACCCGCAGCAGATGGGGATCATCCCCCGCATCGCCCGCGACATCTTCAACCACATCTACGCCATGGACGAGAACCTGGAGTTCCACATCAAGGTGGGCACGGGGGGCACGGGGGGCACGGGGGGCACTGTGGGGTCATTGGGGGCACTGAGGGCACTGGGAGCACTGGGAATTGCTGGGGGGGCACTGGGAGGCGTCGGGCAGAGCACTGGGAACACTGTGGGGGGGGCACTGGAAGGGACTGAGAGCACTGGGAGGGGCACTGAGGGCACTGTGGGGGCACTGTGGGGGCACTGGGAGGCACTGGGAGGCACTGGGGGCACTGGGGGCACTGGAGGAGCACTGGGGGCACTGGGAGCATTGGGGGGCACTTGGAGCACTGGGGGCACTGGGGAGCACTGGGGAGGCACTGGGGGGGCACTGAGAGCATTGGGGGCACTGGAGGGGGCACTGGAAGGGACTGAGAGCACTGGGAGGGGCACTGAGGGCACTGTGGGGGCACTGTGGGGGCACTGGGAGGCACTGGGGGGGTACTGGGGGCACTGGGGGGGCACTGGGAGGCACTGGGGGCCACTGGGAGCATTGGGGGGCACTGTGGGGGCACTGTGGGGGCACTGGGAGCACTGGGAGGGGCACTGAGGGCACTGTGGGGGCACTGTGGGGGCACTGGGAGGCACTGGGGGGGTACTGGGGGCACTGGGGGGGCACTGGGAGGCACTGGGGGCCACTGGGAGCATTGGGGGCACTGCGGGGGCACTGGGGGGCACTGGGAGCATTGGGGGGGTACTGGGGGGGCCACTGGGGGCACTGAGGGGGCACTGGGGGGCACTGGGGGGGCACTGGGGGGCACTGGGAGCATTGGGGGGCACTGGGGGATCGGCCCGCGCTGCCCCCCAACCCCCACCCCCTTCCCCCCCCCCCCCCCCCCCCCCCCCAGGTTTCCTACTTTGAGATTTACCTGGACAAGATCCGGGACCTGCTGGACAGTGAGTGGGGGGCACTGGGGCACTGGGAGCACTGAGAGGCACTGAGTGGTTACTGGGAGGCACTGGGAGGGCACAGGGTGGTTACTGGGAGCCCTGGGAGGTTACTGGGAGCACTGGGAGGCACTGGGAGGTTACTGGGAGCACTGGGAAGCACTGGGAAGCACTGGGAGGTTACTGGGAGCCCTGGGAGGCTACTGGGTGGTTACTGGGAGGTTACTGGGAGCACTGGGAGGTTACTGGGTGGTTACTGGGAAGCACTGGAGGTTACTGGGAGCACTGGGAAGCACTGGAGGTCACTGGGAGGCACTGGGTGGTTACTGGGATCACTGGGGGGTTACTGGGAGGTTACTGGGAGCACTGGGAGGCACTGGGAGGTTACTGGGAGCACTGGGAGGCTACTGGGTGGTTACTGGGAGGTTACTGGGAGCACTGGGAGGTTACTGGGTGGTTACTGGGAAGCACTGGGAGGTTACTGGGAGCACTGGGAAGCACTGGGAGGTCACTGGGAGGCACTGGGTGGTTACTGGGATCACTGGGGGGTTACTGGGAGGTTACTGGGAGCACTGGGAGGCACTGGGAGGTTACTGGGAGCACTGGGAGGTTACTGGGAGGTTACTGGGAGGTTACTGGGAGGCACTGGGAGGTTACTGGGAGGCACTGGGAAGCACTGGGTGTTTACTGGGTGGTTACTGGGAGCACTGGGAGGTTACTGGGAGGTTACTGGGAGCACTGGGAGGTTACTGGGAGGCACTGGGAAGCACTGGGTGTTTACTGGGTGGTTACTGGGAGCACTGGGGGGTTCCTGGGAGGTTACTGGGAGCACTTTGTGACACTCCCCCCGCCGTGTCCCCGCAGTGACCAAGACCAACCTGTCGGTGCACGAGGACAAGAACCGGGTCCCCTACGTCAAGGTGAGGGGGGGAGGGGTCCTGGGGGGCACTCCGGGGAGGGGGGAGGGGCGGGGGTCCCTCCGGGGGTGGGGGATGGGCTCTGGGCACCCCCAAGTCCCCCCGGTCACCCCCACACCCCCCCAGGGCTGCACCGAGCGCTTCGTGTCCAGCCCCGAGGAGATCCTGGACGTGATCGATGAGGGGAAATCCAACCGGCACGTGGCTGTCACCAGTGAGCGACACCGGGGACACCGGGAGGGACAATGGGGGGCACAGGGGAAACTGGGGGCACGGGGGGCACGGGGAATGTGGGACACACAGAGCGGGTACACGGGGTGGCACCGGGACATCCGTGGCTGTCACCAGTGAGCCACACCAGGGGACACCAGGGGGACACGGTGGGCGTGGGGGGCGTGGGGGACATGGGGGCACTGGGTCGTGGAGAGACATGGGGACATCGTGGGGGATATGGGGACACTGAAGACAGGGGGGACATGGGGGGACACTGGGGACACTGGGGACACTGGGGACATGGGGACACCGAGGACATTGGGGACATGGGGGACACTGGAGAGCATGGAGGGACATGGGGACACCGAGGACATTGGGGACATGGGGGGCATGGGGACAGGGGATGGACGAGGGGGACATGGGGGCAGGGGAGGCAGGGGGACATGGGGAACATGGAGGGATATGGGGGACACTGGGGACACCAGGGACACTGCGAGGACACAGGGACACGGGGACATCATGGGGGCACGGGGGATGTGGGGGGCATGGGGGACATCATGGGGGACATGGGGGACACTGAGGGATACGGGGGACACTGAGGGCATGGAGGGCACGGGGGGACATAGGGGGCATGGGGGACATGGGGGAACTGGGATAGGGGGACATGGGGACAGGGGAGGGACAAGGGGGACATGGAGATATGGGGGGATATGGGGGGATGGGGACATGGGGGACACTGGGGACATGGGGGACACTGGGGATATGAGGACACGTGGACAGCGGAGGGACAACGGGGACATGTGGGGACAGGGGGGACATGGGGACACTGAGGACACTGGGGACATGGGAGAACATGAGGACATGGGGACACTGGGGGCACGGGTGCCTGGAGGGACATGGGGACAGGGAGGACACGGGGACATGGGGGGATATGGGAGGCATGGGGACACTGGGGACACCGGGGACACTGGGGGGACACGGGGACATCATGGGGGCATGGGGAGACATCATGGGGGATGTAGGGGACACTGAGGACATGGGGGACACGGGGAGCACGGAGGACATGGGGGGCATGGGGGACATGGAGGGATATGGAGGAACATGGGGGGGCATGGGGTGCAGGGGGACACTGCGGGGTCCCAGGGTGGTGCAGGGGGGCACTGAGGGGTCCCGGTGCCCGTTTTGGGGTGCAGTGCCAGCCCTGGGGCTGTTTTGGGGGGCAGTGCCAGCCCCGTGCCCACACCCGTGCCCCCTGTGCCCGCAGACAGAACGAGCACAGCTCCCGGTGTCCGTTTGGGGTGCAGGGGGGCACTGCGGGATCCCGGAGCTGTTTCAGGGTGGAGTGCCAGCCCCGGGGCTGTTTCGGGGGGCAGTGCCAGCCCCGGGGCTGTTTCGGGGGGCAGTGCCAGCCCCGGTGCCCACACCCGTGCCCCCTGTGCCCGCAGACATGAACGAGCACAGCTCCCGCAGCCACAGCATCTTCCTCATCCACATCAAGCAGGAGAACGTGGAGACCGAGCAGAAGCTGAGCGGGAAGCTCTACCTGGTGGACCTGGCGGGCAGCGAGAAGGTGGGGGGCACCAAAAACGGGAACCCCAAAAGTAGGAGGGGACCCCAAAGGTGGGGAACCCAAAGGGAGGGCACCCAAAGGTGGAGGCACCCCAAAAGGAGGCACCCCAAATGTGGGGACCCAAAAAGTGGGGGACCCCAAAAGTGGGGGCACTCCAAAGGTGGGAGGGACCCAAAAGTGGGGCACCCCAAAAAGGGGGGACACCAGGGGTGGGGACCCCAAATGTGGGGGGAGCGAGAAGGTGGGGGTCCCCAGGGGCCGGGACCCCAAATGTGTGGGCACCCCAAAGGTGGGGTACCCCAAATGTGGGGGACCTCAGGGCTGGGGGACCCCAAAAGTGGGGCACCCAGGGTTGGGGGCACCCTAAAAGTGGGGCACCCCAAAGGGGAGGAAACAAAATATGGGGGACTCCAAAAGTGGGGCACCCCAAAAGAGGGCACCTCAAATGTAGGGGGAGCCCAAAAGTGGGCACCCCAAAGGTGGGGGCCCCAAATTTGGGGGACCTCAGGACTGGGGGACCCCAGGGGTGGGTGGACTCCAAATGTGAGGGCACCAGGGGTGGGGGCACCCCAAAGATGGGGTACCCCAAATGTTGGGACCCCATAGGCGGGGGCACCCCAGGGGTAGGGGAAAACCAAATGCGGGGATTCCAAAGTGGGGGACACCTCAAAAGTGGGGCACCCCAAATGTAGGGGGACCCCAGAGCTGCAGAAACGCAGAGCCAGGGGTGCAGGGGGAAGGGGGGATGGACTGGGGGGGCACTGGGGGGGCACTGTGGGGGTGCCCCCCTGGAGGGTGGAGCCTGGGGGCATTCATGACATTTTGGGGGGCATTGAGGGGGTGAGAACATTTTGCGGGGGTCCATGGGGTGTGGGGGGATATTGGGGTTTGGGGGGGTGATTGGACGGTGGGGGCCTGGGGCAGCCTGGGGGGTCCTGGGGGGGCTTTGGCGCTCTGTGGGGCACTGGGAGGGCGGGGGTCTTGGGGAGACAGTGGGTTTTGGGGGGCCATTGGGGCCATTTTTGGGGCTCAATGGATTTTTTTTTAGGGCCATTGAGGTTTTGGGGGGCCATTTTTGGGCCATTTGGGTTCTTCGGGTTGGGGTTTGGGGGTCAATGGGGCTTTTGGGGCTGTTTGGGCCATTTTTGGGGCCATTGGGGTTTGGGGTCAATGGGATTTTTGGGGCCATTGATGTTTTTTGGGGCCATTGGGGTTTGGGGTTTTTGGGGTTTGGGGCCATTGAGGTTTCTTGGGGCCATTGGGGCCGTTGGGGTTTGGAGTTTTTGGGGTTTGGGGCCATTGGGGTTTGGGGTTTTTGGGGGTTGTGGCCATTGGGGTTTGAGGCTGTTGCAGCTTGGGGCCATTGGGGTTTGGAGTTTTTGGGGTTTGGAGTTTTTGGGGTTTGGGGCCATTGGGGTTTCAGGACCGTCAGTCGGGGTGGGGGTCTCTGGGTGCGGGGTGTTGGCACTGGGGTTCTCCTGCCTGGTGGGACCCTTGGGTTGGGCTCTGGGGCCATCCCTGTGAGGGGTCCCTGGGGTCGGGGGACACACGAGGGGTCCCTGGGTTTGGGGGACACAGGGGGGTCCCTGAGCCATCCCCCCCTTTCCCAGGTGAGCAAGACGGGCGCTGAGGGGGCCGTGCTGGACGAGGCCAAAAACATCAACAAATCCCTGTCGGCGCTGGGCAACGTCATCTCCGCGCTGGCCGAGGGCACGGTGAGACCCCCGGAGCCCCCCGAGCCCCCCGGGGGTCCTGGAGAGCCTTGCCCAGCCCCCCCATCCTGTCCCCCCCGGCTCTGGGGAAGGGGCGCTCCTGCTGAGCCCCCTCGGGGGTCCTGGGGTGGGGGAGACCCCCCTGAGCCCCCCCCCCCCAGTGTGTCCCACCCTGCTGAGCCCCCTGCAGGGGTTCTGGGAGGGGGACACCCCCTGTGTCGCCAACCCGAGCCCCTGTCCCCCCTCTGTGTGTCCCCTGTCCCCCCTATGTGTGTCCCCTGTCCCCCCTGTGTGTCCCCTCGAGCCCCGTGTGTGTCCCCTAGCCCCCTGTTCCCTCACGTGTGTCCCCAACCCAAGCCCCCTGCCCCCCTCCGTGTGTCCCCTGTTCCCCCTGTGTGTCGCTCTGTCCCCTGTGTCTGTACCCCCGAGCCCCTGCCACCACTGTGTGTCCCCAACCCGAGCCCTTTGTCCCCCCGTGTCCCACTCCCGCGTGTCCCCCCGTGTCCCCCTGAGCCCCCTCCCCCCGCGCTGTCCCCCACCGAGACCCCCGTGTCTGTCCCTGAGCCCCCTGCCCCTCGTGTCCCACTCCCGCGTGTCCCTGATACCCTGTCCCCCTGTGTGTCCCCAACCCGAGCCCCCTGCCCACCCGCTGTCCCCCCGTGTCCCCCTGTGTGTGCCCCTGAGCCCGCTGTCCCCATATGTCCCCAACCCGAGCCCCCTGCCCCTCCTGTGTCTCTCTGCCCCCCCCGTGTCCCCAGCTCGAGCCTGCTGTCCCTCGTGCCCCACTCCTGTGTGTGTCCCCGAGGCCCCTGTCCCCTGTGTGTGTCCCTGAGACCCCTGTCCCCATTTGTCCCCAGCCCTGAGCCCGCTGTCCCCCGCGTGCGTCCCCCCCGAGCCCCCTGCCCACCCTCTGTCCCCCGTGTCCCACTCCCGTGTGTGTCCCCTGTCCCCTCGTGTCCCCCCGTGTCCCCCTGAGCCTGCTGTCCCCATATGTCCCCAACCCGAGCCCCCTGCCCCCTGTCCCCCGAGCCCCCTGCCCACGCCCGCTGTCCCCCGTGTCCCCCCCGTCCCCCCGGGGGTCCCCGCGGTGGTCCCGTTGCTGAGGCCGCCCCTCCCCCCGCAGAAGGCCTACGTGCCCTATCGCGACAGCAAGATGACGCGGATCCTGCAGGACTCGCTGGGCGGGAACTGCCGCACCACCATGTTCATCTGCTGCTCCCCGTCCAGCTACAACGACCAGGAGACCAAATCCACGCTCATGTTCGGCCAGAGGTGCGCCGGGGGGGGCAGAGACCCCCGAGCCACCCCCGAGCACCCCCTGAGACCCCCGAGCCACCCCCGAGCACCCCCTGAGGCCTCCGAGACCCCCCCGAGCAACCCCTGAGCCCCCCGGAATGGGGGTGTCCCCTGAGCCCCCCGAGCCCCCCCGGAATGGGGGTGTCCAACCGCACCCCTCTTGCTGCCCCCCGAGCCCGCCCCGAGCCCCCCCTGTGCCCCCCGAGCTCCCCCAGAGACCCCCGAGGCCCCCTGAGCCCCCCGAGCCCCTCCCCCAGAGCCACTCTCGAGCACCCCGAGCCCCCCCGAGCCCCCCTGGGCCCCCCCAGAGACCCCCCTGAGCCACTCCTGAGGCCCCTGAGCCCCCCGAGACCCCCAGAGCCACCTCGAGCCCCTTGAGCCCCCTTTAATGGGGGTATCCCCCGAGTTCCCCTGAGCCCCCGGAATGGGGTTGTCCCCCGAGCCCCCTGAGCCCCCCAGAACCCCCCGAGTTCCCCCCGGAATGGGGGTGTCCAACCGCACCCCCTCCCCCCGGGTGTCCCCACGGAGCCACCGCCCCCCGCTCTGTGCCCAGAGCACCCCGAGTGCCCCCCGAGACCCCCCCGGGGCACCCACGGAGGGCAGTGCACCCCGACAGCGCCCAGTGCACCCCAACTTCACACAGTGCACCCCAACTTCACACAGCGCACCCCAACAGCGCCTGATGAACCCCAACTTCACACAGCGCACCCCAACCATGCCTGCTGCACCCCAACTTCACACAGCGCACCCCAACAGCGCCTGCTGAACCCCAAATTCACACAGTGCACCCCAACCGTGCCTGCTGCACCCTAACTTCACACAGCGCACCCCAACCATGCCTGCTGCACCCCAACTTCACACAGCGCACCCCAACCATGCCTGCTGCACCCCAACTTCATACAGTGCACCCCCACTGCTCCCAGGGCACCCCAATTTCACCCATGGTGTACCAGCGCACCCCAGCTGCTCCCAGTGCGCCCCAACAGCGCCTTGATGCACCCCGAATTCACCCAGTGCACCCCAACCGAGCCTGCTGCACCCCAACAGCCCCCAGTGCACCCCAACTTCACCCATGGTATCCCAGCCACATCTCAACTGCTCCCAGTGCCCCCCAAGTGCCCCCCTGCACCCCAACTGCCCCCAGTGCACCCCAACAGCGCCCACAGCACCCCAAATTCACCCAGTGCACCCCAACAGGGCCTGATACACCCCAACTTCACCCATGGAATCTCAGCCACACCCCTACTGCCCCCAGTGCACCCCAAATTCACACAGTGCGCCCCAACAGCGCCTGCTGTACCCCGACTGTCCCCAGTACACCCCAATTGCCCTCAGTGCACCCCCACTGCCCCCCTGCACCCCAAAATTCCCCCAGTGCACCCCAAATTCACCCATGGTGTCCCAGCCACACCTTGGCTGCCCCCAGTGCACCCCAAGCGCTCCCTGCACCCCAAATTCACCCAGTGCACCCCAAGTGCCCCCAGTGCACCCCAAATTCACCCAGTGCACCCTGAGTGCCCCCAGTGCCCCCCAAGCGCCCCCTGCACCCCCAGGGGCTGCGCTGGGGTCCCCAGAGCTGGGAGGGGAGGGCAGGTGACCCCCCTGGAGGGAAGGGGGGCAGGGGGTGCCAGTTTGGGGGTCCCAGATGAGGGGGCAGGGGGTGCCCATTTCGGGGTGCCGGTTTGGGGGTGCCGGTTTCTGGAGCAGGAGTGCCAGTTTCGGAGTGCCCCGGTCAGGGGGAGCCAGGTGCCAGTTTGGGGGTGCCAGTTTGGGGGTGCCCTGGTGAGAGGATCCGGGTGCCAGTTTGGGGGTGCCAGTTTGGGGGTGCCGGTTTCGGGCGCAGGGGTGCCCATTTCGGGGTGCCAGGTGAGGAGGAGTGGAGGGTGCCAGTTTAGGGGCGCCAGTTTCGAGAGCCAGGTTCCAGTTTGGGGTGCCAGTTTGGGGTGCCAGTTTGGGGGTGCCAGTTTCGGGAGCCGGGTTCCAGTTTGGGGGTGCCCTGGTGAGAGGATCCGGGTGCCAGTTTGGGGGTGCCAGTTTTGGGGTGCCCGTAGGGCCAAGACCATCAAGAACACGGCCTCGGTGAACCTGGAGCTCACGGCCGAGCAGTGGAAGAAGAAATTCGAGAAGGAGAAGGAGAAGAACAAAGCGCTGAGAGAGAGCCTGGCCCGGCTGGAGGCGGAGCTGAGCCGCTGGCGGAGCGGTGAGGGCACCCCCAAAATGGGGGCACCCCCAAAATGGGGGGCACCGAAAATGGGGGAACCCCGAAAATGGGGGAACCCCCAAAATGGGGCACCCCCAAAAGGGGGGCACCCCCAAAATGGGGGCACCGAGATTGTTGGGAACCCCGAGATTGGGGGGACACCCGAGAGCTGGGGGGGGCACCCCGAGATTGGGGGCACCCCGAAAATGGGGGGACCCGAAAATGGGGGCACCTCGAGAGCTGAGGGGGCATTCCGAGACTGGGGGAACCCCGAAACTGGGGGGGACCCCGAGAGCTGGGGGCACTCCGCGGCACCCCGAGATTGGGGGCACCCCGAGACTGGGGGGGACCCTGAGATTGGGGGCATCCAGAGATCTGGGGGGACCCCGAGAGCTGGGGGGAAGACCCCCACATCTGGGGGGGACCCCGGGGCACCCCGACATCTGGGCGTGGACCCCGAGATTGGGGGCACCCAGCGAGCTATGGGGGACCCTGGGGCACCCCGAGACTGGGGGGGCACCCCGAGATTGCGGGGACAGCCCGACAGCTGGGGGAGACCCCGGGGCACCCCACTGGCCCCCAGCCCCGCTGGGGAAACTGAGGCACAGTCTGTCCCATGGGGGGGCACCCTGGGACCGGGAGGGCCATCAGGAGATGTGGGGGGACCCCAAAGCGAGAGGGACCCCAATTGTGGGAAGGGGATCCCAAGTCTGGGAAGGGACCCGGGATGTGGGAAGGGGACCCCAAAAGGCCCCAGTGGAGACCTCGAGGCCACGTCCTTCATTGAAGGAGGCTGAGCTCGGAGGGGACCCCAACGCCTGGGGCACCCCGAGATCCGGAACGGGGTCCCCAGCCCTGGGGACACCCCGAGATTCGGGGGCGCCCTCACCCCTGGGACACCCCGAGATCCGGAACGGGGACCCCACCCCAGAGATACCCGGAGATCGGGGGTGCCCCCAGCCCTGGGACACCCCACAACTGGGGGGACCCCACCCCAGGGACACCACGAGATCCTGGGGTACCCCCACCCTTAGGGCACCCCGAGACTGGGGGGACCCTCACCCCTGGGACACCCCGAGATCGGGGGTACCTCACTCCTGAAGGGCACCCCAAAATCGGGGGTACCCCATCCCCCGAGGGGGGCTCTGAGGCCGTGCCCCCCCTCCCCAGGCGAGGCCGTGCCCGAGACCGAGCAGCTGAGCGAGGCCGAGGCGGGCACGGGGCCGGGCGAGGGCCCGGGGGGCGCCCCCGAGGAGCCCCCCCTGAACGACAACAGCTCCTCCATCGTCATCCACATCTCGGACGAGGAGCGCCACAAGTACGAGGAGGAGATCCGCAAGCTCTACAAGCAGCTGGACGACAAGGTGGGGACCCCCGGACCCTGGGGACCCCCCGGAGCTGCCAGGGACCCCCCAGACCTGCCAGGGACCCCCCGGAGCTGCCAGGGACCCCCCGGGGCTGCCAGGGACCCCCCAGACCTGTCAGGGACCCCCCAGACCTGCCAGGGACCCCCAGCACCCCTGAGAGCCCCAGGACACCTGGGGACATCCCAGTGTGCCCAGCAGCCCCCAGAGCCTCAGCATGGTGGGACTGGGACCCCCTGTTATCTCCCAGTGCCCCCCAATTCCCCTCAGTTCCTCCCAGTTCGCTCCAGTTCCCTCCCAGTTCCCCCTGTAACTCCCAGTTGCCCCCTGGCAGTTCCCAGTTCCCCCCAGTTCCTCCCAGTTCCCCCTAATTTCCCCCTGGCAGTTCCCAGTTCCCCCCAGTTCCCTCCTGGTAGCTCCCAGTGCCCCCCCAGTATCCCCCAGTTCCACCCAGTTCCCCCTTGGCACCTCCAGTTCCACCCAGCTCCCCCTGGCAGCTCCCAATTGCCCCCTGGCAGTTCCCAGTTCCCCCAGTTGCCCCCCGGTGACCGCTGTCCCCCCTGTCCCCCCCTGTCCCCCCAGGATGACGAGATCAACCAGCAGAGTCAGATCATGGAGAAGCTCAAGCAGCAAATGCTGGACCAGGAGGAGGTGAGGGCCCTGCCCCTCCCCCACCCGTGAGACCCCCTCTGTGTGAGCCCCCCCGGACCCCCCCAGGGCCTGGGACCCCCCCGGGAACACAACCCAGCCCCCCCTGGGCCCCTCACCCTCAGTGCCTGGGACCCTCCAGAACCTGACCCCCGGGACCCCCCCAGGCCTCCCTTGGGACCCCCCCGGGACCCCCCCGGGACCCCCAGTTGTGACCCCAGGCTGACTCTGCCACTTTGGGACTGGCCCCCTCACCCCCCATGACCTCCCAAACCCCCCAGGACCCTGAGCCTCTGCCCCTGGACCGCTGGGACTCCTGGGGGACCCTCCCGTGACCCCTGGGACCCCCACCCTGACCCCTGGGACTCCCACCCTGACCCTGGGTCCCCACCCTGACCCCTGGGTCCCCCACCATGACCCCTGGCGTGCCCACTATGACCTGTGGGACCCCCACTCTGATCCTTGGGACTCCCCCATGACCCGTGGGACCCCCACTATGACCTTTGGGACCCTCCCCATGACCCCTGTGATGCTCACTGTGACCCCTGTGCCCCCCACTCTGACCCTTGGGATGCCCACCATGACCTGTGGGACCCCCACCCTGATCCCTGGGACCCCCTGTGCCCCCCACTCTGGTCACTGGGACTGCACCACGACCCCTGGGACCCCCACCATGACCCCTGGGACCCCTCACTATGACCCCTGTGCCCCCCACTCTAATCCCTGGGACCCCCACCATGACCCCTGAGACCAAACCATGACCCCTGGGACCCCTAAACTGATCCTTGGGACCCCCACCATGACCCCTGGGACCCCCACTCTGATCCCTGGCATGCCCACCATGACCTGTGGGACCCCCACTCTGATCCTTGTGTCCCCACCATGACCCTTGGGATGCCCACCATGATCCCTGGCATGCTCACCATGACTCCTGGGCCCTCCCACTCTGCCCCCTGTGCCCCGCCATGACCCCGTGCCCCCCGCCCTGACCGGGTGCCCGGTGTCCGGGGCAGGTGCTGGCGGCGGCGCGGGGCGGGGGCGAGGCTGCCCGCCGGGAGCTGGCGGCGCTGCGGGCCGAGCACGGCGCGGCGCGGGCCGAGGTCACCGAGGTGCTGGCGGCGCTCGAGGAGCTCGCCCGGAGCTACGACCGCAAGGCCCAGGAGGCCGAGGACACCGGGAGGCACAACCGGCGGCTGGCGGACGAGCTGGCCCGCACCGAGGTGGGGACACCGGGACGGACAGAGGGACACTGGGACACCGGGACAGACAGTGGGACACAGGGACAGACAGCGGGACACAGGGACAGACACCGGGACAGTGGGACACTGAGACACCGGGACAGACAGCGGCACACAGGGACAGCCCGGGACACTGGGATGGACACTGGTACAGACACCAGGACACTGGGACAGACACCGGGACACCAGGACAGACACTGGGACACTGGGACAGACACCAGGACAGACACTGGGATACCAGGACAGACAGCGGGACAGTCACCGGGACACAGGGACAGACCGCAGGGTCAGGGACACTGGGACAGGCGGGACAGGCGAGGGGCCAGGGACACCGGGACAGACACCGGGAGAGACACCGGGACAGGCTGAACAGCCACAGGGACATTGGGACACTGGGACAGATGCCGGGACAGACGCCAGGACGGACAGCAGGACACTGGGGGACCAGGGACACCAGGACAGACACTGGGACACCGGGACACCAGGACAGACAGGGGGCTAGGGACACCGGGAGGCACAACCGGCAGCTGGCCAATGAGCTGGTCCACACCAAGGTGGGGACACCGGGACGGACAGTGGGACACTGGGACACTGAGACAGACACTGGGACACAGGGACAGTCCGGGACACTGGGATGGACACCAGGACAGACACGGGGACAGCCCAGGACAGCCACCAGGGCATCCACTGGGACACTGGGGCAGAGGGACAGACACGGGGACACCAAGACAGACAGGGGGCCAGAGACACCGGGACAGACAGCGGGACACCGGGACAGACAGTGGGACAGCCCCTGGGACACCGGGACAGACAGGGGGACACCAGGACAGACAGGGGGATAGGGACACCGGGACAGACACCAGGACATCCACTGGGACACTGGGACAGACACCGGGACAGACACCGGGACACCAGGACAGACAGTGGGACAGACAGCAGGACACCGGGACAGACCACAGGGTCGGGGACACCGGGACAGGCGGGACAGGCGAGGGGCCAGGGACACCGGGACAGACACTGGGACGGACACCGGGACAGCCTCGGGGACACCGGGACAGGCAGGACAGCCTGCGGGGCCACAACCCCCCTGGAAAACCCACACGGAGCCCATTGGGACCCTCACCCTCTGCCACAGCCCCCCCAGAGCCCCCTGGCCCAGCCCCAAACCGGGACGCTGGGAGCCAGGGACACCCCAAAACAGGAGCCTCAGACTGGGGAGCCCCCAGAGCCCAAACTGGACCCCAAACAGGGGGCACCCCCTCCCCTCAAGCCACACCCCAAGATGAGATTCCCCTCGGCCAGAAGAGAGGGTTCCCCCCTGTCTCAAACCAGTGCCCAAACTGGGAACCCAGCCCTGAACTGGGGTGCCAGGCTGGGTGCTCCCCTCGGGTGGGACCTTGGGGTGCCAGGGCTGGTGCCAGGGTGGTGGTTCCAAGGTTCCTGAGGGGCACTGGGGGTGCCAGGATGGGCGGGACTGGCGGCACTGGGTGGTACTGGGCAGCACTGGGCAGCACTGGGTGGCACTGGGTGGTACTGGGAGATACTGGGAGGTACTGGGCAGCACTGGGCGGTACTGGGGTGTGCCAGGGCGTGCTGAGGGTGCCTGGTGTGGGTACCCGGGCAGCGGGGGCTCAGGCAGGGGCAGCTGGGGCACAGGATGTGCTGGCTGTGAGGGCACAGGGGCTGCCAGGGCTGTCGGGGGGCACAGGGGCTGCCAGGTCTGTCAGGGACAGCAGCGAGGGGCACAGGGGGCACAGGGGGTGCCCGGCACTGTTGGGGTGCTCATGTGCGGGGGTGCCCGGGAGGTGCCGCAGGATGTCTCGGCTGTGCCCTGGTGGCCCGGGGGTCCCAGGGGGTGACGGTGCCGCTGTCCGCGGTACCAGCCCAGCCCTGTCGCTGTCACTGTCGCTATCGCTGTCGCTGTCCCTGGTGCCAGCCCTGTCACTGTCGCTGTCCCCGGTGCCAGCCCAGCCCTGTCACTGTCGCAGGCCACCACGCTGTCGCTGGAGTCGGAGCTGTCGCGGGCACGGGAGCTCGGGGGGCAGCAGCGGCGCCGCGCGGCCGAGGTGCTCAACGGGCTCCTGAGGGACCTGAGCGAGCTCAGCGCCCTCGTGGGCAGCGGCGACATCAAACTGGTGAGGGCACCGGGGGACACGGGGGGCACGGGGAGCATTGGGGGGCATCGGGGGGCATGGGGGGCACGGGGAGCATTGGGGGGCATCGGGGGGCACGGAGGGCACAGTGTGGGAGGGATGGGTGTCTGTGCCCTGTGGGACGTGCCCCTGCTGTGCCCTCCCCACGTGTGGGGTGTCCCTGCCATGCCTGTGCCATGCTGTGCCATGCCTGTGCCATGCTGTGCCACGCTGTGCCCGTGCCATGCAGTGCCCACGGCAGAGCCATGCCATGTCACACCCAGTTGTCCCGTGCCCATCCCGTGTCCCTTCCATGCCCATTCCGTGCCCATTCCATGCCCATTCCATGTCCCCGCGATGCCCGTGCCACCACACCCCTGTGAATGCCACACCCACCCCGTGCCAGGCGGTGCTGCCTGTGCCATGCCATGCCCATGACTTGGCAGTGCCATGCCCCTGCACTGCCCATGTCATCCCCCGTGTGTGCCATCCCGTGCCACACTGTGCCCGAGACATGCCTGCACCATTCAGTGCCATGCTGCGCCGTGCTGTGCCATGCTGTGCCATGCCCATGCCATGCTGTACCTGAGTGTGGTACACACCTGTGCCATGCTGTGCCGTGCCATACCCATGCCATGCCATGCTGTGCCATTCCTGTGCCGTGCTGTGCCGTGCCATACCCATGTTGTGCTGTGCCATGCCATGTTGTGCCATATCCATGCTGTGCTGTGCCACACCGTGATGTGCCATGCCATGCCATACCCACACCCTGCCGTGCTGTGCCATTCCTGTGCCATACCATACCCACACTGTGCCATTCCTATGCCTGCTGCCCTGCCATGCCGTGCTGTACCGTGCCATACCGTGCCATACCCACACTGTGCCCTGCTGTGCCATGCGGTACCCTGCCGTGCCATACCCACACTGTGCCATGGCATGCCATGCCATGCTGTGCCGTGTTGTGCCATACCATACCCGCACTGTGCCCTGCCATGCCGTGCCATACCCACATTGTGCCCTGCCGTGCCATACCATACCCACCCTGTGCCCTGCTGTGCCCTGCGGTGCCATACCCACATTGTGCCCTGCTGTGCCATGCCGTGCCATACCATACCCACACTGTGCCCTGCCGTGCCGTGCCATACCCACACTGTGCCCTGCCGTGCCATACCATACCCACCCTGTGCCCTGCTATGCCCTGCGGTGCCAGCCGGTGGAGGTGAGCGGTGCCATCGAGGAGGAGTTCGCCGTTGCCCGGCTCTACATCAGCAAGATCAAGTCGGAGGTGAAGTCGGTGGTGAAGCGCTGCCGGCAGCTGGAGAACCTGCAGGTGGAGTGCCACCGCAAGCTGGAGGTGACGGGCAGAGAGCTGTCCTCGTGCCAGCTGCTCATCTCCCAGGTGTGCCAGGGCGGGCAGGGCACTGCCAGGGGACTCTGGGTCCGGGGGCACAGGGGTTTAGTGGCCCCAGGGTTTGGTGGCTCAGGGTTTTGTGTCCCTGGGGTTTGGTGACACCAGGGTCTGGCAGCTCCAAGGTTTGGCAGCTGAAGGCTTTGGCGGCTCCAGAATTTGGTGGCCTGGGGGTTCTGTCACTCAGGTTTTGGTGGCACAAGGTTTAGTGGCTCAGGGTTTAGTGGCCCCAGGGTTTGGTGGCACAGGGTTGCATGTCCCTGGGGTTTGGTGACACCAGGGTCTGGCAGCTCCAAGGTTTGGCAGCTGAAGGCTTTGGCGGCTCCAGAATTTGGTGGCCTGGGTTTCTGTGACTCCAGGATTTGGTGGCTTCACGGTTTGGTGGCACAGGGTTTTGTGTCCCTGGGGTTTGGTGACACCAGGGTCTGGCAGCTCCAAGGTTTGGCAGTTCCAAAGTTTGGCAGCTGAAGGCTTTGGTGGCTCCAGAATTTGGTGGCCTGGGGTTCTGTGACTCAGGGTTTGGTGGCCCAAGGTTTAGTGGCTCAGCGTTTGGTGGCCCCAGGATCTGGTGTCACAGGGTTTTGTGTCCCTGGGGTTTGGTGACACCACGGCCTGACAGCTCCAGGATTTGGCAGCTCAAAGCTTTGGTGGCCCCAGAGTTTGGTGGCCTGGGGGTTCTGTGACACAGGTTTTGGTGGCCTCAGAATTTGGTGGCACAGGGTTTGGTGGCTCAGGGTTTGGTGGCCCCAGGATCTGGTGGCACAGGGTTGTGTGTCCCTGGGGTTTGGTGACACCAGGGTCTGGCAGCTCCAAGGTTTGGCAGCTCCAAAGTCTGGCAGCTGAAAGCTTTGGTGGATCCAGAATTTGGTGGCCCCAGGGCTCTGTGACCCAGGTTTTGGTGGCCCAAGGTTTAGTGGCTCTGTGATTTGGTGACTCAAGGTTTTGTGTCCCTGGGATTTGGTGACACCAGGGTTTGACAGCTCCAAAGTTTGGTGGCCCCAGAATTTGATGGCCTGAAGGTCTGTGACCCAGGTTTTGGTGTCCCCAGACTTTGGTGGCCTGGGGGTTCTGTGACTCAGGGTTTGGTGGCCCAAGGTTTAGTGGCTCCAGGGTTTGGTGGCTCAGAATTTTGTGTCCCTGGGATTTGGTGACACCAAGGCTTGGTGGCTCTGAGGTTTGACAGCTGAAAGCTTTGGTGTGCCCAGAATTTGGTGACCATGGGGTTCTGTGACCCAGCTGCTGGTGGCTTCAGGGTTTGGTGGCCTTGGTGTTCCGTGACCCAGGGTTTGGTGGCCCCAGAGTTTGGTTTCGCTGGGGTTGGGTCACCCTGGATTTCTCAGCCCTGGGTTTGGTGGCACCAGAATTTATTGGTCCAAGGGTTTGGTGGCCCTGCATTTGGTGACCCCAGGGTTCAGGGGTCCTGGAGTTTGGGGACCCAGGGTTTGGTGACCCTGGGTCTGGTTTCCCTGGGGTTTGGTGACCCTGGATTTCTCAGCCTGGGTTTGATGGAACCAGAGTTTATTGGTCCAAGGGTTTGGTGACCCCAGGGTTCAGTGAGCCTGGAGTTTGGGGACCCAGGGCTTGGTGGTCCAGGGTTTGGTGACTTGGGGGTTTGGTGACCTGGGGGTTTGACTCCCCTGGGCTGGGGGTTTGGTGGCTCTGGCCGTGCCATTGGGGGTGGCCTGGAGATTTTGGGGGGACATTCCTGCGGCTCTCGGGGTCAGGTGCCCCTGGGGGTGTTGGGGGCCACCAGGGGTGGTCCTGGGGCTGGGGGCTGCCAGGGTGGTGCCCCGCGGGTGTTGGGGGTGCTGTGGGGTGGGCACGGGGAGCAGGGTGGACACTGGGAGCAGAATGGGCACGGGGAGCGGGATGGGCACGGGGAGCAGTGTGCCCGCGGGTGTTGGGGGATGTTGCAGGGTGGGCACCGGGAGCGGGGCCGGCACCGGGAGCGGTGTGCCCGCGGGTGTCGGGGGGATGCTGCGGGATGGGCACGGGGAGCAGGGCGGGCACGGGGAGCGGTGTGCCCGCGGGTGTCGGGGGGATGCTGCGGGATGGGCACGGGCAGCGGTGTGCCCGCGGGTGTCGGGGGGATGCTGCGGGGTGGGCACGGGCAGCGGGGTGCCCGCGCGGGCCGGGGGTGCCGGTGCCCCCCGGCTGAGGCTGAGGCGGTGCCGGTGCCGCTGCAGCACGAGGCCAAGATCCGCTCGCTGACCGAGTACGCGCAGAGCCTGGAGCTGCGCAAGCGGCACCTGGAGGAGGCGCACGACGCGCTCGGGGAGGAGCTGGCGAGGCTGCAGGCGCAGGGTGGGGGCACGGGGGGCGCGGGGACACTGCGGGGGGCACGGGGTGCTCGGGGGGCTTGGGGGGCACGGGCGACGCGGGACAGTGTGGGAGCAAGGGGGGCACGGGAGGGCCCGGGGGGCTTGGGGACAGTGCGGGAACACAGGGGGCACGGGGGGCTTGGGACACTGCGGGGGGCACGGGGGGCTTGGGGACAGTACGGGGGGCACGGGGACAATGGGGAGGGTGGTACGGGGGGCGCGGGGACAGTGCAGGAGCACGGGGGACACGGGAGGCTTGGGAGTCAGGGGGAGTCGGGGGCATGGTGGGAACGGGAGGGTGGGGGGAGTTTGGGGGGGCTCGAGGGGCTCAAGGGTATGGGGGAGAATGGGGTGTCACAGGGGGGTCGGGGGCCACAGGGATGGGGGGGACACGGGGGGCTGGGGGAGTATGGGGTGATACAGAGGGCTCAGGGGTGGGGGGAGAGTATGGGGGGCTGGGGGCCATGGAGGGGATTGGGGGGCTGGGGAGTGCACAGGGTGACATGGGGGGCTGGGGGAATATGGGGGAGTGCACAGGGGGCTCGGGGGGCGCTGAGGGGTCCCTGTCCTGCCGGGTCCTGCAGAGGCTGCACAGGGGGCAGCTCGGAAGCAGCGCGAGCAGGATGAGACCCAGGACACGGACGAGGTCAAGGTGAGGGGGGCAGGGGGGGCACAGCCACCCTGGGGGGCTCAGGGACCCTGAAGGGTGTGGGGGGACAGCTGGGGGTTCTTACAGAGGGTGAGATGTGCTCGAGGTGGGTGAGGGTCCCTGGGGTCCTGGGGTGTGGGGTCCCCAAGGGTGTTGGGGTATGGAGTCCCGGGGAGTGCTGGGGTGTGTGCGGTCCCTGGAGGGTGTTGGGGTCTCTGAGAGGTTTTGGGGTGTGTGGGTCTCTGGGAGTGGAGGGTGTGGGGTCCCCGGGGGGTGTTGGGGTGTTGGGTCCCCAGGAGGCACTGTGGTGGGAGGTGCTGGGGTGCCCAGGGAATGCTGGGGTGCCCGGGGTGCCAGAGCTGAGGTCCCATGGGCACAGGCGGCGCTGGAGCTGCAGCTCGAGAGCCAGCGCGAGGCCCAGCACAAGCAGCTGGCGCGGCTGCGGGACGAGGTCAACGAGCGGCAGAAAACCATCGATGAGCTGAGGGAGTGAGTGAGCCCGGCCCTGAGCCCTGAACCTGGCCCTGAACCCATCCATCATCCATCATCCATCCATCCATCCATCATCCATCATCCATCCATCATCCACCCATCATCCATCATCCATCCATCCATCATCCATCCATCCATCCATCCATCATCCATCCGTCCATCCATCCATCATCCATCCATCCATCCATCCATCATCCATCCATCATCCATCATCCATCCATCCATCATCCATCCATCCATCCATCCATCCATCCATCCATCCATCATCCATCCATCCATCCATCATCCATCATCCATCCATCCATCCATCCATCCATCCATCCATCCATCCATCCATCATCCATCATCCATCCATCCATCATCCATCCATCCAGCATCCATCATCCATCCATCCATCCATCCATCCATCATCCATCCATCCAGCATCCATCATCCATCCATCCATCCATCCATCCATCCATCCATCCATCCATCCATCATCCATCCATCCATCCGTCATCCATCCATCCCTCCATCCATCCACCATCCATCCATCCATCCGTCCATCCGTCCATCCATCATCTGTCCACCCATCCATCCATCCATCCATCATCCATCTCCATCCATCAATCCATCATCCATCCATCATCCATCCATCCATCCACCATCCATCCGTCCATCCATCCATCCATCCATCCATCATCCATCATCCATCCATCATCCATCCATCCATCCACCATCCATCCGTCCATCCATCCATCATCCATCATCCATCCATCCATCCATCCATCCATCATCCATCCATCCATCCATCCATCCATCCATCCATCCATCCATCCATCCATCCATCATCCATCCACACCTCATCCATCCGTCTGCTCCCGTGTCCTCCTGTCCATCCATCCCTGTCCCCGTGTCCGTCTGTGCCTGACCGTGTCCGTGTGTCCGTTGCAGCCAGAACCAGAAGCTGGAGCTGGAGCTGGAGCGGCTGCGGGCGGAGCACGAGGCGCTGCGGGCGGAGGAGCGCGCCAAGGCAGCGCGGCTGCAGGAGCTGACGTGAGACCCCCGGGACCCCGGCCCGGGGCCTCTGGGGCTCCCCTGGGACCCCGACCCAACCCCCAGGATTCCCCTGGGACCCCGACCCAACCCCTGGGATTCCCATGGGACCCCAACCCAACCCCCGGGGCTCCCCTGGATACTCCTTGACACCCCAGCCCATCCCCCAGGGCTCCCCACATTCCCCTGGGACCCCAATCCAACCCCCAGGATTCCCCTGGGACCCCGACCCAACCCTGGGGCTCCCCTGGGACCCCGACCCAACCCTGGGGCTCCCCTGGGACTCCGACCCAACCCCGGGGCTCCCTGAGATTCTTCTGGGGACCCCAACCCAACCCCTGGGATTCCCCTGGAGACCCCAACCCAACCCAACCCTGGGGCTCCCTGAGATTCTTCTGGGGACCCCGACCCAACCCCCAGGGCTCCCCGGAATTTCCCTGGGGACCCCAACCCAATTCCTGGGGTTCTCAAGCCAGTTCCCAGGGTTCCCCTGCAGACCCCAACCCAATCCCCAGGGCCTCTCAGGCTCCCCTCGGGACCCCAACCCAACACCTGGGATTCCCCTGGGGACCCCAACCCAACACCTGGGATTCCTCTGGGGACCCCAACCCAACTCCCGGGGCCCCCCCACATTCCCCTGGGGACCCCAATCCCAGAACCCCCCCAGGACTCACCACAGGACGCCAAGCCCACCTCCCCGACCCTGCTGACACCCCAGGAACCCCAAACCCCAGGGCCCACCCTTGGGACCCTAAACGGGACCCCCAGAGCCCCCCAGGACCCCTGGACATCCCCAACCTTCAAGTGCCCCCCCCAGCCTTGAAGGACACCTCCATTCTTCGGGTCCCCCCCTCAAGCTTGAAGTGACCCTCCCAATTTCGGGGTGCTCTCCCCTCCTTGTACTGACCCCCCGACGCTGGGTGGCCCCCCCAAATGCAGGGGTGCCCCCCTTGGGCTGAGCCCCCCTAATTTGGGCCGCTGCCCCCCAGGCTCCTGTACGAGCGCCACGAGCAGTCCAAGCAGGACCTCAAGGGGCTGGAGGAGACCGTGGTAGGTGGGGAGGGGTCCTGGGGGGTCAGGGGTGCCAGGGGGGGTCTGGGGGGCTCAGAGGAGCCTGGGGGGGGGCCTGGGGGGCTCCGTGCACCCCCTCACCCTCTGCACCCCCCAGGCCCGTGAACTCCAGACCCTCCACAACCTGCGCAAGCTGTTTGTTCAAGACGTCACGACACGAGTCAAGAAGTGAGGGGGGAAAAAAGGGGGAAACGGGGAAAAATGGGGGGAAATGGGGGACAAGGGGGGAAATGGGGGAAGGAAAAAAGGGAAAAATGGGGGGGAAAAATGGGGAAGAATGGGAGGGAAAGGGGGAAAATGGGGGAAAATGGGGGAAAAGGAGAAAAAGGGGGGGGAAAGGGCAGAATGGGGGGAAAAAGGGGAGAAAAGGGGCAAAATGGGGAAAGGGTGTAAGGGGGAAATGAGGAGTAAAAGGGGGTGAGGAAGGGAAGGGAAGGGAAGGGAAGGGAAGGGAAGGGAAGGAAGGGAAGGGAAGGGAAGGGAAGGGAAGGGAAGGGAAGGGAAGGGAAGGGAAGGTTTCCCAGTGGGGATCTGGTTCTGACGGGGCTCCCGGTGCCCCCAGAGCGCAGAGCTGGAACCCGAGGACAGTGGGGGGCTCCACTCCCAGAAGCAGAAGATTTCCTTTCTTGAGACAACCTGGAGCAGCTTACAAAGGTTCACAAACAGGTGCGCGGGGGGGGCACGGGGGGGGGTACCCGCCCCAGGGCCCCCAGTTCTGCAGCCTCCCCTCGCTTCCCTGGCTCCCCCAGGGCCCCTTTCCCTCCTGCCCCCATCCCTGAGTGCCCCTCCCCGGCTGGGAGCCCCTCCCTCACTCCGTGCGCCCCCAACCCCCCCTCACTGGCCCCCGGCACAGCCCCACTGCTGCATGGGGACACTGTGGGGGAACAGCCCAGGACAGCCCGGGACAGCCCGGGACACTGCTGGGACATCCAGGATAGCCCGGGAGACCCCGGGACACTGCTGGGGGAAGGGGGGGGGGGGGTGGGGCTGGAGCCCCCCACGTACCGTTAGGGACACGGAGCCCCTCACCCGGGCACTGTTAGGGGCTCTGAGCCCCCGAGGCCCTGCTGGGACCGGATGTGTGCGAGTGTCGGTGTCCGTGCCGGTACCGGCGGCTGTGGCTGGGTGAGGATGTGCGGGTGTCGGTGTCAGCACCGCTGTGTGCAGGTGTTGGTGTCGGTACCGGGGCAGGTGCGGGTGATGTTGGGAGTGGGTCCCGCTCCTGGTGGGTCCCGGTGCCGATACCAGTTCTGCCGTGTCACAGGACGGGTCCGTGGCAGTGCGGACCCCGCGCTGTGAGCCCCGGGGCGGGGGCAGGGGCAGGCAGGTTCTGGTCCCGGTGCTGCAGGGGGTCCGGGCGGGTCCCGGTGCCGGTGCCGGTACTGCCGTGTCGCACAGCTGGGCCGTGACAGTGCGGACCCTGCGCTGTGAGCCCCGGGGCAGGGGCAGGGCAGGTTCGGGTCCCGGTGCCGGTACCGCAGGGGCTCCGGCGGGTCCCGGTGCCGGTCCCGGTGCCGGTGCCGGTACTGACGTGTCGCACAGCTGGTCCGTGACAATGCAGACCTGCGCTGTGAGCTTCCGAAGCTGGAGAAGCGGCTGCGCGCTACGGCTGGGCGAGTGCAGGCCCTGGAAGGGGCGCTGAGGGCGGCCAAGGAGGGGGCGCGCCTGGACAAGCGGCGCTACCAGCAGGAGGTGGAGCGGATCCGGGAGGCCGTGAGGGCCCGGGGGGCGCGGCGGGGGCCCGGAGCGCACACGGTACGGGGGAGCCGGGGATACCGGGAGGGCCCGGAGCGCACATCGGTACGGGGAGAAGGGGAGGAACCGGGGGAACCGGGATAGGGGGCGGAGCGCGCATCGTTACGGGAGGAACGGGAACCGGGGCGCAGAGGGGGCACGGAGCCCACGTCGGTACGGGGGGATCGGGATAGGGGGGGCAGAGAGGGGCTCGGAGCCCACATCTGTACAGGGGAACCGGGGGCACCGGGGGGCACGGAGCCCACATGGGTACGGGGGAACGGATAGGGGGGCACGGAGCGCACATGGGTACGGGGGAACGGGATTGGGGGGGCACGGAGCCCGCATTGGTACAGGGGGCACAGGGGGCACAGCGGGGGCACGGAGCACACATAGGTACGGGGGGCATGGCGGGTAACGGGAACGGGTGCAGGGGGGCTGAAGGGGGCACGGTGGGCACGGGGTGGGCAGGGTGGGCACAGGGGGTGCTGGGGCCGCGGGGTACATGGGGGATGCAAGGATGTGCTCAGGGTGCAGGGTGGCATGGAGGGTGCAGGGGAGCAGGGTGGGCACGGGAGATGCAGGGGTGGGGGCGCTGTGAGCACACGGGGGGTGCAAGGGGGTGCCCAGGGAGCCGGGTGGGCATCGAGGGTGCAGCATGGAGTGAACTGGGTCCTGGCGTGCGGGTTGGGCACGGGGGTACGGGGGTGGGCACAGAAGGTGCCAGGAGGGCAGGGGGAGCGCGGGGGCACAGGGTGGGCATGGGGGGTGCAGGGTGGCATGGGGGGTGCAGGGTGGGTACAGGTACAGGGGCGCAGGGTGGGCATGGGGAGTGCATGAGATGTGGGGGGTGCGGGGTGGGCACAGTGGGCGCAGGGTGGGTACCCAGCCTGGCACACTCTGGGTTTTGGGCACGGGGGGCGCAGAGTGGGCACGGGAGTTGCAGGGTGGGCACGGTGAGCACAGGGTGGGCACCCAGCCTGGCACACTCTGGGTTTTCGGCACGGGGGGCACAGGGTGGGTACCCAGCCTGGCACACTCTGGGTTTTGGGCACGGTGGGTGCAGGGTGGGCATCCAGCCTGGCACACTCTGGGTTTTGGGCACGGTGGGTGCAGGGTGGGCACCCAGCCTGGCACACTCTGGGTTTGGGCACGGGGGGTGCAGGGTGGGCATCCAGCCTGGCACACTCTGGGTTTTCGGCACGGGGGGTGCAGGGTGGGCATCCAGCCTGGCACACTCTGGGTTTTGGACACGGTGGATGCAGGGTGGGCACCCAGCCTGGCACACTCTGGATTTTGGGCACGGAGGGCGCAGGGTGGGCACGGTGGGCACAAGGTGGGCACCCAGCCTGGCACACTCTGGGTTTTTTGGGGGGGGTTATTGCTGTGGCTGCCACCCCCGCACAAGGGCACAGCCCCAGCCCAGGGGGTGCCCCAGGCTCTGAGGGTGCCCTCTGGCGGTGCCGGTGCCAGCAGCGCCCCTGACCCCCCCGTGCCCCCCCAGCCAAGCCGGTGCGGCCGGGCAGGCGCCGTCGCCCACGGGCTGAGCTACACCAACAGCCTGTTCCAGGGGTACCCCGGGGGGGGCGCCCTGCCCGGGCCCCACGGCCTGTGAGTGCGGGGGCACGGGGGGGGTCTGGGGGTGCAGGGGGGTCCTGGGGTCCGGGAGGGGGTGGGGCAGGAGGAGTGCAAGGGTGGGCGGGTCCTGAGGGGAGGGTGGGTCTGGGGGTGCAGGGGGGTCCTGAGAGGGCAGGAGGGGGCAGGGGTGGCGGGGGGATCCTGGGGGAGGGAGGCTCAGGGGGTGCAGGGGGTGGTGGGCGGGTCTGGGGTGCAGGAGGGGTGCTGGGGGGGGTCCTGTGGCAGGGCTGGTGTGGTCTGGGGGTGCAGGGGGGGGTCCTGGGAGGGCAGGAGAGTGGCAGGGGTGGGGGGGGGTCCTGAGGGAGGGGAGGAGGGCTCAGGGGGTGCGGGGGGGGTGGGAGGGTCAGGGGGTGCAGGGGGGGTGCGGGGGGTCCTGAGGGGAGGGTGGTGTGCTCTGGGGGTGCAGGGGGGGGGTCCTGGGAGGGCAGGAGGGGGGCAGGGGGGTGGGGGGGGTGAAGAGCGTGGGGGTCCTGGGGAAGGGAGGCACTTGGGGTGCAGGGGGGTGGGAGGGTCTGAGGGGGTTCCGGGGGTCCTGGGGCAGGCTTGATGTGCTCTGGGGTTCCTGGGGATCCTGGGGGGGTCCCAGGGGGTTCCGGGGGGGTGCAGGGATGGGGGGGGTCCTGGGGGAGGATTGCTGTGCTCTGGGGGTGCCGGGGGATTATTTGGGGGGGGGCAGCAGAGGTTTCTGAGGGGCTGGAGGGGGGGGCAGGCAGGACATGGGGTGCCCCCTTCGTGCCCGCAGTGCCCAGGGGGGTCTCAGGGTCTCCGTCCCCTCTGTGCCCCCTCCCCAGCTTTGCCAGCGGCCCCCCCACGCTCCCCAGCACCCCCCCGGATCCCTACCAGCAGCTCAACGTGGATAATGGTGAGGGGGGCCCTGGGGGTGTCCCCAGTGTCGGGGTGACACCATCGGGGGTGTGGGGATGTCCCCAGTATTGGGGTGACACTATCGGGGGTGTGGGGGTGTTTGTCCCCAGTGTTGGGGTGGTCCCATGGAGGGTGTGGGGTGTCCCCAATGTGGGGTGACACCATGGGGGGGATGTGGGGGTGTCCCCCGTGTCAGGGTGACAACATGGGAGCTGTGGGGGGTGTCCCCAGTGTGTGGGGGGTGTCCCCAGTGTTGGGGTGTCTCATGGGAGGTGTGGGGGTGTCCCCATGTCAGGATGCCCCATGGCAGGTGTGGGGGTGTCCCCAGTGTCGGGGTGACACCATGGGAGGTGTGGGGGTGTCCCCAATGTGTGGGGGTGTCCCCAGTGTCGGGGTGCCCCATGGGGGGGCCCTGGGGGTGTCCCCAGCCCCCCCTGGAGCCCGCTGCTGTTCCTTGCAGGGAACGTGACAGACATCAACGACAACAGGTGAGGGGGGGGGCAGGGCTGGCCTGGGGGGTGTTCTGGGTTTGGGGGGGCCCCGCTGACACCCCCGCCCCCCCCAGGAGTGACCTGTCCTGCGCCTGCGAGGCCGAGGAGGCGGCCAAGCTCTTCCCGCTGCGCCAGGAGACGGCGGCCAGCTAATGCCCCCCCCCAGGTACGGACCCCGGGTGTGGGACCCCCCCCAAAATCATCCCTCACACCCCCCAGCTGGGGGACCCCCCCTAAAACCCATTCCCACACCCCCTCAAGTGTGGGACCCCCCAAACTCATTCCTCACAACCCTCCGGGTGTGGGACCGACCCCCCCCCAAACTCATTCCTCACAGCCCCCCAAGTGTGAGACCCCCCAAACTCATTCCTCACTCCTTTCCAGGTGTCAAACCCTTCCCCACCTCATTCCTCACTCCCTCCCAGGTCTGAGACCCCCCCCAAACTCATTCCCACACCCCCAGGTGAGGAACCCCCTCCCACAGCCCCAGGTGTGAGACCCCTCCCACCTCATTCCTCACAACCCCCCGGGTGTGGGACCCCACCCCCCAAATTCATTCCTCACAGCCCCCCAAATGTGAGACCCCCCAAATTCATTCCTCGCATCCCTCCAAATGTGGGACCCCCCCCAAAACTCATTCCTCACAGCCCCAGCTGAGGGACCCCCCCCCCCTTTCCACCTCACTCCCCCCAGGTGTGAGACCCCTCCCCAAACTCATTCCCACACCACCCATTTGTGGGACCCCCCCAAAACTCATTCCTTACCCCCTCCGGGTGTGAGACCTCTCCCCACCTCATTCCCACACCCCCCTCAGTTGTGAGAGCCCCCCAAATTCATTCCTCACCCCTCCCAGGTTCGGGATCCCCGTCCCCCCCATTTCTCACGGACCCCTGGGGATCTCCCCCATCCTTCGAGTGACCCCAACCCCCTCCATCGGACACCCCCTCCCCATTCCATGGGTGCCCCCCAGCCCCCCTGGCCCTGGATGCCCCAATTGCCCCCCCATCCCTGGGGTCCCCCCACACCCCAAGATCCCCCCCTCCTACCCCTGGGGTCCCCTCCGATCCCCGCAGGTTCCGGGGTGCCCCCCATCCCGGGATATCCCCCATCCTTGGGCTCCCCTCCGATCCCTGAAGGTTTCGGGGTCCCCCCCCCCATCCCTGGGGTCTCCCCCCCGATCCCTGGGGTCCCCCCCCATCCTTAGGGTCCCGCCCCCGACTCTGGGCTCCCCTCCGAATCCTGCAGGTTCCGGGGTCCCCCCCCCATCCCTGGGGTCTCCCCCCCGATCCCTACGGTCCCCCCCCATCCTTTCGGTCCCCCCCATCCCTGGGGTGGCCCCCCGACCCCCGCAGGTTCCGGGGTGCCCCCCATCCCGGGATATCCCCCATCCTTGGGGTCCCCTCCGATCCCTGAAGGTTCCGGGGTCCCCCCCCATCCCTGGGGTACCCCCGTGCTGTCTCTGCCCCCCCCCGACCCCCGTGTCCCCCCCGGCAGGTGCTGCAGCCCCGGCTCCGCCCGCTTGTCCCGGTGTCACCGGTGTCACCCGTGTCCTGTGCTCGTGCCACGCTCGCTCCGTGCGGGGGAGGGGCCGCTCCCCCCCCCCCCCAACCCAGGACCCCCCCGGGACCCCCGATGGGGGCGGGGCCGGGGCGGGGGGGGCGGGCCGCCCGAGCTGCCTTAACCCGGATGGAGAATGTGACAATGCGACAATGCGACAGTGTGACAATGTGACAGTGTGACAGTGTGACACTGTGACAGTGTGACAGTGTGACAGTGTGACAGTGTGACAATGTGACAATGCGACAATGTGACAATGCGACAGTGTGACAGTGTGACAGTGTGACAATGCGACAATGCGACAGTGTGACAATGTGACAGTGTGACAGTGTCACCCCCGGCCCCCCCCCCCGCCCCCCCCGGGTCCCCCCGCTTGGCGTCTCGGCTGTGCCCCCCCCCCCCCCCCCCCCCCCCCCCCCCCCCCCCCCCCCCCATATCCCGGGGGGGTCCCCGCGCCCCCCCGCCCCCCCCAGCGCTGCATGAACCGCCCCAGCGCGGCCGGAGCGCAATAAAGGGAGAGGCTGAGAGAAATGGGGGGCAATGAGAAAATGGGGGGGTGAGAGAAACTGGGGGGGTGAGAGAAAATAGGGGGTGAGAGAAAATGTGGGGGGGCTCTGAGAGAAAATGGGGGGGGTCAGAGAAAATGGAGGGGTCAGAGAAACTGGGGGGCCTGAGAGAAACTGGGGGTGTGAGAGAAAATGGGGGCAATGAGAGAAACTGGGGGAGGGTCTGAGAGAAATGGGGTGAGAGAGAATGGGGGGGGCTGAGAGAGAAGGGGGGGTGAGAGAAAATGCGGGGGTGAGAGAGAATGGGGGGTGAGAGAGAAATGGGGAGGTGAGAGAAAATGGGGGGGGCTGAGTGAAAATGGGGGGGGGCTCTGAGAGAAAATGGGGGGCTGAGAGAAAATGGGGGGGCAATGAGAGAAACTGGGGGGCTCTGAGAGAAACTGGGGGGCTCTGGGGGTGCTCTGAGAGAAAATGGGGGGCTTGGGGGCTCTGAGAGACACTGGGGGGACTTGGGGGGTATGGGGGGTCCGGGGGGGCTCTGAGAGAGCCTGAGGGGCTTGGGGGGGGCTGGGGGGAGCTTGGGGGGCTCAGGGGGGTACGAGGAACCTGGGGGGGCTCAGGGGGGGGGGCTGAGAGGAGCCGGTGGGGCTGGGGGGGCTCGGGGGGCTTGGGGGGGGCTGGGGGAGCTGTGTCACACTGGGGGCGTTTGGGGGAGTGCGGTGACACGGGGGGGCACCAGGGTCACACGGGGGATTTGGGGAGGGGGGGGTCACACTGACAGAGTTGGGGGGGGGGTCACACGGGGGATTTGGGGAGGGGGTCACACGGGGGATTTGGGGGGGGTCACACGGGGGATTTGGGGGGGGTCACCACGGGGGATTTGGGGAGGGGGGTCACACCTGACAGATTTGGGGGGGGTCACACGGGGGATTTGGGGGGGGGGTCACACTGACAGATTTGGGGGGGGTCACACGGGGGATTTGGGGAGGGGGGCACACGGGGGATTTGGGGAGGGGGGCACACTGGGGGCATAGAGAGGAGTGGGGCACACGGGGGGTGTTTGGGGGAGCGGTGTCACACTGGGGGCGCTGGGGACACTGGGTCACACTGCAGATTTGGGGAGGGGGACACACGGGGCGGTGTTTGGGGGCATTGGGGTCGCACTGGGGACACTGGGGTCACTCTGGGGATTTGGTGAGTGAGGCACCCTGCGGATTTGGGGGGTGCAGGGTCACTCTGGAGGTGTTTGGGAGCACCGGGTCACTCTGGGGGATTTTGGGGTCACTCTGGGGGATTTTGGGGGTCACACGGGATTTGGGGAGGGGGGCACACTGCGGATTTGGGGGTGCAGGGTCACACTGGGGGATTTGGGGGTCACAGCGGGCATTGGGGACAGCGGGGAGGGCACGGGGGGTGGGGAGGGGGAGTGGGACCCCCCTGCACGGGGCACTCTGCAGGTGCCACACGTGTCACTGTGGGGTCACACCTGTCCCTGCCAGTGTCACACCTGTCCCCGTAGTGGTCACACACATCCCTACAGATGTCACACCTGTGCCAGTGGGGTCTTACACCTGTCCCCATGGGGGTGACACCTATCCCTACAGCAATCACACCTGTCCCTATGGGGTCACACCTGTCCTCGTGGGGTCACACCTGTCCCAGTGATGATCACACCTGTCTCTATAGCTGTCACACCTGTCCCTATGATGATCAGACCTGTCCCCACAGGTGTCACCCCTGTCCCCACAGGTGTCCCACGTGTGCCCACGGGTGTCACACTTGTCCCTATAGATGCCACACCTGTCCCCGCAGGTGTCACACCTGTCCCCGCAGGTGTCCCACTTGTCCCTATAGATGCCACACCTGTCCCCGCAGGTGTCACACCTGTCCCCGCAGGTGTCCCACTTGTCCCTACAGATGCCACACCTGTCCCCGCAGGTGTCACACCTGTCCCCACAGGGATCAGGCGCCCCCTGTCGGTTCCCCCGTGCCCACAGGGACAGCCGGTGTCACCTGTGGGGTCACACACGAGTGCCCCAGAGGGGTCACTGTCCCACGTGGGATCACACCTGTCCCTGCCAATGTCACACCTGTCCCTGTGGGGTCACACCTGTCCTAGTGGTGATCACACACGTTCCTACAGGTGTCACACCTGTCCCAGATCACAGGACTCCCCGCAGGTGTCACATGTGTCCCCAGGTGTCAAACGTGCCCCTGCAGTGGTGACCACACCTGTCCCTGCAGGTGTCACACCTGTCCCCGTGGTGGTCACACACGTTCCAACAGGTGTCATACCTGTGCCAGTGGGGTCTCACACCTGTCCCCATGGGGTCACACCTGTCCCAGGGGTGATCACACCTGTCCCTGTAGCTGTCACACCTGTCTCTGTAGGTGTCCCACGTGTCCCCACAGGTGTCACCCCTGTCCCCACAGGTGTCCCACATGTCCCCACGGGTGTCACACCTGTCCCTATAGGTGCCACACCTGTCACCGTGGTGACCACATCTGCCGCCACAGGAGTCACGCCTGTCCCTATGATGATCACACATGTCCCTGTAGGTGTGCCACGTGTCCCCGCAGGTGTCACACCTGTCCCTGCGGGGATCAGGTGCCCCCCATCGGTTCCCATGTGCCCGCAGGGACAGCCGGTGTCACCTGTGGGGTCGCACCTGTCCCCATGTGGGCCACACACCTGTCCCTAAAGCTGTCACACCTGTCGCCTGTGGGGTCACACGTGTCACAGTAGTGATCACACCTGTCCCCATGGGATCACACACCTGTTGCCTGCAAGATTACAAATGTCCTCTGTGGCGATCAAAGGTGTCCCCTGTCTGTGTCACACGAGTCCCCTGTGTACTCACACCTGTGTCCTGCAGGTGTCACACGTGTCCCCTCCAGGTGTCACACGTGTGCCCGTGGGGGTCACACCTGTCCCTGTGTGCTCACACCTGTGTCCTGCGGGTGTCACACATAACCTTATCAGGTGTCCCTGTCACGTGTTCCCTCCAGGTGTCACACGTGTGTTGTGCAGATGTCACGTGTCCCTGTCACACCTATCTGTGTCACGTGTCCCTGTCACGTGTCCCGGTGGGGGCAGGGCGCCCCCTGCCGGTTTCCCGCGCCCCCTGGCGCCCCCTGGCGGTTCCCGGTCCCAGCCCCGCCCCGCTCCTGGCGCCGTTTCCGGGTTCCGGTGCCGGGGCCGGGCGGAAGCGGCGGCAGAAACGGCGGAAGCGGCGGCGGAAGCGGCAGCGGCGGCCATGGCGGCGGCGGCGGGTCCGTGTCCCGGCCCCGGCCCCGGGCCCGGCCCCGGCGCCGCCCGCACCAAGAAGAAGCAGAAGCGCTTCGTGCCGCAGCGGGTGAAGCTGCCGCGGGCCGCGGACCCGCTGCTGGCCGTGCTGGCCTGGGGGGTCACGCACCAGGTCAGCACCGGCACCCCCGGGACCCCCGTGTCCCTCCCCGGACCCCGCGGCTCCGCGCCCCGGCACCCCCGTGTCCCCTCCTCGGGACCCCGCGGCCCTTGGGATGCCCGGTCCCCGGTGCCGGTCCCAGTCCCCTCCCGGGATATCCGTGCCCGTCTCTCCGGGACCCCCGCCTGTGTTCCCGGCACCCCCGCAGCCCCCGCCTGGCCCTTCTCTGGGACCGTCATTTCCCCCGGAGCCCTCGGTGTCCCCTGCCCGGGATCCCCATTGCCCCCATCCCGTGTCCCCTTCCCTCAGCTCCATTTCCCCGGGATCCCCATTGCCCTGCACCCCTGGACTCCATCCCCCCTGGATCTTCACTGTCCCCATCGCCCCGGGACCCCCATTGCCCCCATCCCTCAGCTCCATCCTCCGGGATCGCGTGTCCCCATCCCATCTGGATCCCATCGCCATCCGTGTCCCCATCTCATCCCACCCCATTGCCCCCCATCCCATGTCCCCATCCCTCGGCTGCGTCCCTTGGCTTCCATACCCCCAGTATCCCATGTCCCCATTCCGCCGGGATCCCCACTGTCCCCATCCCTCGGCTCCATCCCGTGGGATCCCCATTGTTCCCCATCCTGTGTCCCCATCCCATGTCCCCATCCCATATCCCCATCCCGTGTCCCCTTCCCCCAGGATCCCCATTGCCCCCCATCCCGTGTCCCCATCCCGTGTCCCCATCCCATATCCCTATCCCATATCCCCATCCCATGTCTCCATCCCATGTCCCCTTTCCCTAGGATCGCCATTGTTCCCCATCCCGTGTCCCCGTCCCATGTCCCCATCCCGTGTCCCCATCCCGTGTCCCGTTCCCCCAGGATCCCCATTGTTCCCCATCCCATGTCCCCATCCCGTATCCCTGTCCTGTATCCTTGTCCCGTGTCCCCATCCCGTGTCTCCATCCCGTGTCCCCATCCCATGTCCCCATCCTGTGTCCCCTTCCCTTGGCTCCATCCCTTGTCTCCATCCCCTGGGATCCTCACTGTCCCCATCCCCACACCTGGGGGTCCCAGGGGGTCCCTGAAGGTGGTTCCCAGCGCTCTCCCTGGCCCCAGGGGGTTTCTGGGGGTGTTTCCTGGTGGTCCCGGGGTTTTTGGGGGCGTTTCCCGGGGGTCCCACCTTGCCCCCCCTCCCCAGATCAACGAGCTGAGCCAGGTGCCGCTGCCCGTGATGCTGCTGCCCGACGATTTCAAAGCCAGCTCCAAAATCAAGGTCAACAACCACCTGTTCAACAGGTGAGCGGCACGGGGGGGGCGCAGGGGGATGTCCTGCAGCAGGGGACACCCCAAAACTGACGTGAGCCCCCCAAACTCAGGGAGAACCTGCCCAGCCACTTCAAGTTCAAGGAGTACTGCCCGCAGGTGTTCCGCAACCTGCGCGAGCGCTTCGGCGTCGACGACCAGGACTACCAGGTGAGGGGGGATTTGGGGGGTCTGGTGTTTATGGGGTGCCCAGGCAAAGGGAGGGATGATGGATCTGACTCCATGCTCTCAGAAGGCTAGTTTATTAATTTATGATACTGTGTTGTATTAAAGAATAGAGAAAGGGTACAGACAGAAAGCTAAAAAGATAATAATGAAAACTCATTACTGTTTTCCAGAGCCTCGACACAGCTGGCTGTGATTGGTTATTAAATTAAAACAATTCACGTGAAACCAATCAAACATTCACCTGTTGCTGAACAATGTCCAAATCCCATTTCAAGCAATTATATTATCATTGTTTACATTTTGTTTCTGAGGCCTCTCAGCTTCTCAGGAGAAAAATCCTAGTGAAAGGATTTTCATAAAATATGTCAGTGACACTATACTAAACTGTACTAAAGAATACAGAGAGGATACTTACAGAAGTTTAAAAAATAATAATGAAAACTTGTGACTCTCTCCAGAGCCCTGACACAGCTGGCTGTGATTGGTTATTAAATGAAAACAATTCACATGAAACCAATCAAAGATGCACCTGGTGCTAAACAATGTCCAAACCCCATTCCAAGAAATCAGATAATTATGGTTTACATTTCATTTCTGAGGCCTCTCAGCTTCTCAGGAGAAAAATCCTAGTGAAAGAATTTTCATAAAATATCACAGTGACACTGTACTAAACTGTACTAAGGAATAGAGAAAGGATGCAGACATGAGTTTAAAAGATAATAATGAAAACTCATGACTCTCCAGAGCCCAGGCACAGCTTGGCTGTAATTGGTCATTAAATTAAAACAAATCACATGAAACCAATCAAACATTCACCTGTTGATAAACAATCTCCAAACACATTCCAGAGCAGCAAAACACAGGAGAAGCAATCAGAGAATTATTGTTTTCATTTTTTCTCTGAGGCTTCCCAGGAGAGGAAATCCTGGTGAAGGGAATTATTCAGAAAATATGAAAATGAATTAATTCAGAATATATTCAGGATATTTTTTCAGAAAATGTTCTGAAATATATTTCAGGAAATGTGGCACAGGGGCCTGAGGGTTTCTGGCATTCGTCCACCTCAGGCAGGGCTGAATTCCATCAGGGTCCTCAGGGTCCCCATGTCCACCCTGGGGACAGCGAGGGGAGCTCCAGACTGTCACATGTGTCACATGGCCACCTGTCCCCTGGCTGTGCCACCTGTGCCATGGCAGTGTGCCCCCAGATTGCCCTGGCATGGAGCCCCCTGTGGGGGCGGCTGTGTCACCGGTGTCCCCCTGGATGGCTGTGTCACCTGTGTCCCTGGGTGGCTGTGTCACCTGTGCCTCTGACTGTGTCACTGGTGTCCCCCTGAGTGGCTGTGTCACTTGTGTGGCTGTGTCACTGGTGTCCCACGGGTGGCTGTATCACCTGTGTCCCTGGGTGACTGTGTCACTGGTGTGACAGTGACAGTGTCACTGTGTCACTGTGTCACCAGTGTCCCCTGGCCATGTCCCCAGGTGTCCCAGGTGCAGAGCCCCCTGCAGGCGTGGCTGTGTCACCCGTGTCCCCAAGTGGCTGTGTCACCAGTGTGGCTGTGTCACCGTTGTCCCCCAGGGTGGCCATGTCCCCTGTTTCCCTAGCTGTGTCACCTGTGTGGCTGTGTCCCCAGGTGTCCCTGGCGCAGAACCACCGGGGGAGGCAGCTGTGTCACCTGTCCCCTGGGGGTGTCACCTGTGTGGCTGTGTCACCAATGTCCCCAGCTGTGTCCTCTGTGTCCCCATGCCGTGTCCCCAGGTGTCCCTGGCGTGGAGGCTCTGCGGGCGTGGCTGTGTCACCTGTGTCCCCAGCTGTGTCACCTGTGTTCTCAGTGTGGCTGTATCATGTGTGTCCCCCTGGGGTGGCTGTGTGACCTGTGTGGCCGTGTCCCCTGTGTCCCCAGCCGTGTCCCCTGTGTCCCCAGCTGTGTCCCCCATGTCCCCAGCCATGTCCCTGTGTCCCCAGCCATGTCCCTGTGTCCCCAGCCGTGTCCCCAGCCGTGTCCCTGTGTCCCCAGGTGTCCCTGGCGCGCAGCCCCCCGCGCTGGGTGGGCAGTGGGCACCGCCTGCTGCTTTCGGCCGACCGGACGCTGGTGCTGAAGGAGCTCTCGAGCGAGGACGTGGCCGACGTGCACGGGCTGCTGGCACACTACCACCAGGTGTGGGCACGGGGGGCACAGGGGGCACGGGCTGCTGGCACACTACCACCAGGTGTGGGCACGGGGGGCACGGGGGGCACGGGCTGCTGGCACACTACCACCAGGTGTGGGCACGGGGGGCACAGGGGGCACGGGCTGCTGGCACACTACCACCAGGTGTGGGCACGGGGGGCACAGGGGGCACGGGCTGCTGGCACACTACCACCAGGTGTGGGCACGGGGTGGGCACGGGGGGCACGGGCTGCTGGCACACTGCCACCAGGTGTGGGCACGGGGGGCACAGGGGGCACGGGCTGCTGGCACACTGCCACCAGGTGTGGGCACGGGGGGCACAGGGGGCACTGGCTGCTGGCACACTGCCACCAGGTACGGGCACAAGGGGTACGGGGTGTCACCTGTGTGCCCAGGGTTGTCACCAGTGTCCCCCCGGGGTAGCTGTGTCACCTAGAGGTGTCACCTGTGTTCCCTGGAGGTGCCTGTGTCACCAATGTCCCCAGGTGGCTGTGTCACCTGTGTCCCCTGGGGGCTGGCTGTGCCCCCTCTGTCCCCAGCTGTGCCACCAGTGTCCCCAGGGTGGTTGTGTCACTGGTGTCCCCCAGGCAGCTGTGTCCCCTGTGTGGCTGTGTGACCTGTGTCCCTGCTGTGTCCCCATGTCCCTGGCTGTGTCCCCATGTCCCCGAGTCCCTGGCTGTGTCCCCATATTCCCATGTCCCCATGTCCCTGCAGTATGTGATGCAGTGCCATGGGCAGATGCTGCTGTGTCCCTGGCTGTGTCCCCATGTCCCCGTGTCCCCGTGTCCCGCAGTACGTGGTGCAGTGCCACGGGCAGACGCTGCTGTGTCCCCATGTCCCTGGCCGTGTCCCTGGTGTCCCTGGCTGTGTCCCCATGTCCCCGTGTCCCCGTGTCCCGCAGTACGTGGTGCAGTGCCACGGGCAGACGCTGCTGCCGCGGTTCCTGGGCATGTACCGGGTCAGCGTGGACAGCGAGGACACGTACCTGCTGGTCATGAGGAACCTCTTCAGCCACCGCCTGCCCGTGCACAGGAAGTACGACCTCAAGGTACTGGGGTGTCCCCGAGCCCCCCGAGCGCTGCTGTGGGACTGCCTCCCCCTGCAGGGGGGGTGGGACGGTGGGGACAGACGGACACGAGAGATCTCTGCAGCCAGATCTGGGATTTGGGGTTCATTGCAAAGGGCCAAGGGCAGGGCCCTGCTGGGAGCCGCCAGGCGCAGCTGGAGCAGGGCTGAGAGGAGAGAAAGGCAAAGGGAGAGAAGGCAAGAGCGTGGCAAAGAGATGAGAGAGTGGGGAAGAGTTCCTGTTACAATAAATCATCTTCTGGTCGTGGAATTTGGGGTTCATTGCAAAGGGCCAAGTGCAGGGCCCTGCTGGGAGCTGCCAGGCACAGCTGGAGCAGGACTGAGAGGAGAGAGGGGAAAAGAGGATGAGAGAGAGGATGAGAAGGTAAGAGACAGAGTAAAATAGAGATAAAAGAGCAAGGTTCCCATTACAATACAATAAATCTTCTGGTTGAGGAATTTGGGGTTCATTGCAAAGGGCCAAGGGCAGGGCCCTGCCGGGAGCTGCCAGGCACAGCTGGAGCAGGGCTGAGAGGAGAGAGGGGTAAAAGGAGAGAAGGCAAGAGCGTGGCAAAGAGATGAGAGAGTGGGGAAGAGTTCCTGTTACAATAAATCTTCTTCTGATTGTGGAATTTGGGGTTTATTGCAAAGGGCCAAGTGCAGGGACCTGCCTGGAGCTGCCAGGCACAGCTCAGAGCAGGCCCAGGAGGAGAGAAAGGTAAAGAGAGACAAGGCAGGAGCGTGGTAAAGAGATGAGAGAGTGGGGAAGAGTAAAGAGGATAAAAAGAGAGAGTAAAAGAGGATGAGGTTCCTGTTACAATAAATCATCTTCTGGTCGTGGAATTTGGGGTTTATTGCAAAGGGCCAAGTGCAGGGCCCTGCTGGGAGCTGCCAGCCACAGCTGGAGCAGGACTGAGAGGAGAGAGGGGAGAGAGGATAAGAGAGTAAAAGCAGAAGAGAGTAAAAGGGGTGAGAGGGATAAGAGTGTAAAAGCATAAGAGAGCAAAGTTCCCATTCAATACAATAAATCTTCTTCCGTGTTGAATATTCTAATTCTCACTAACCAGTCTACAAATTGGTTATATCTGTATCTAACAATACACAAATCCTACAGCATTTCCACACAGCCTGTAAGAATCATTACATCACCACACTGTGCTACATTTTAAACTTTAAATAAACTCCTCTTTGGGCCCCTTCTGCTAAGCCTAGAAACTACTCTTTGGAAACCCTAAAAACTCCTCTTTGGAGTAGTTTTAAACCCTAAAAACTCCTCTTTGGGCCCCTTCTGCCGAGCTGTAGGGTCTGCTCTGAGCCTTGGGCCTGTCTGCAAGCAGAGGGTGTTGTTCCACCAAAAGGGGATCACCTTCAGCCAGCCACACCGTTGTTTTCCAGTTGTTCAGTAACTGAGGGATCTCAAAGCTTGCTTTCATTTCAATCTCACTCATAGTTTCCATATTCTCAAAATCTTTTGCCAGACAATCATATTTACGAGGCTTTCCTGTTTCATCTTCCCCAACACCCCCAAACCCCCTCCTGTCACCTCTGCTCCCTGCAGGGCTCCCTGGTGGGACCGAGAGGCCAGTGACAAGGAGAAGGTACTGCAGGGGGGGATGCTGTGAACCCCCTAAATTTGGGGGGAGGGGTCTCCAGGCCCTGTTTTCCCTCCTCCCCAATAATGGCAGCTCATTGCCTGCCCCCCTCCCCAGGGGCCCCAGCCTGGGGTGTCCCCTCCATCCCCGGGGTGTCCCCTGCAGCTCAGGGGTGTCCCCTCCATCCGTGGGGTGTCCCCTCCATCCCCAGGGTGTCCCTTCCATCCCAGGGTGTCCCTTCCATCCCCGGGGTGTCCCCTCCATCTGTGGGGTGTCTCCTCCATCCCTGAGGTGTCCCCTCCATCCCTGAGGTGTCCCCTCCATCCTTGAGGTGTCCCCTCCATCCCCGGGGTGTCCCCTCCAGCTCAGGGGTGTCCCCTCCATCCCTGGGGTGTCCCCTCCATCCGTGAGGTGTCCCCTCCATCCCTGAGGTGTCCCCTCCATCCTTGAGTGTCCCCTCCATCCCTGAGGTGTCCCCTCCATCCCGGGGTGTCCCCTCCAGCTCAGGGGTGTCCCCTGCAGCTCAGGGGTGCCCGGGGGGCTCCCCCCATCCCTCCCCAGGGCAAGGAGCTGCCCACGCTGAAGGACGTGGATTTCCTCAACAAGAACGAGAAGGGTGTTCGTGGGGGGAGGAGCAGCAGCGCGAGTTCATGGACAAGCTCAAGAGGGACGTGGAGGTGGGAACGGGGGGGCTGCACCCCCAGAGGGGATTGAGGGGGGCTCCCTCCCCACCCCAAGTGACCCTTGGGCCTCCCAGTGCCCGGGCTCTGGGGGTCTGGGGGGCTCTCCCTGTGGCCATGGGGGTATCCCTCACCCCTAATGACCCCTTGAGTGTCCCCCCCAGCCCTGAGATCAGAGTTGTTTTGGGTTTTGGGGGTCTCTTTCTCAGTGCCCGGGCTCTGAGGGTTTGGGGGCTCTCCCTATGACCATGGGAGTGTCCCCCACCCCTAATGACCCCTTGGTTGTCCCCTCAGCCCTGAGAATTGGGTAATTTTTGGGCTGTGGGGGTCTCCTTTCTCAGCATCCAGGCTGTGAGGGTTTAGGGGGGCTCTCCCTGCAGCCATGGGGGTCTCCCCCACCCCTAATGACCCCTCGATTGTTCCTCCAACCCCGAAAATCGGGGGCTTTTTGGCAGGTGGGGGTGCCTTTCTCAGCATTCAGGCTCTGAGGGTTTGGGGCTGAGGGTCCCCTGTGCCCGGGCTCTGAGGGTTTGGGGGTTCTCCCTATGACCATGGGAGTGTCCCCCACCCCTAATGACCCCCAGCCCTGAGAATTGGGGGGTTTTTGGGTTGTGGGAGTCTCTTTCTCAGGGCCAGGCTCTGAGGGTTTGGGGGCTCTCTCCCAGCACCGTGGGGGTCTCCCCCCACCCCTAATGACCCCTTGGTTGTCCCCCCAGCCCTGAGGGTCCGGGGTGTTTTTGGGGACCATGTTCAGTATTTGATTACTGTGGGGGTCACAGTGCCCAGGCTCTGGGGCTTTTGGGGTGAGGGTCCCCTGTGTTCAGGCCTTGGGGGTTTTGGGGTGCCCCCCCCAGGGTTTCGTGTGCCCCCCCCCCCAATTCCCGCCGTGTCCCCCCAGTTCCTGGTGCAGCAGAAGCTGATGGACTACAGCCTGCTGCTGGGCATCCACGAGGTGGAGCGGGGCGAGCAGGAGGAGGAGGAGGAGCTGGAGGAAGAGGAGCTCGGGGCGGGGGGCGATGAGGGGGGGCTGGGGGGCCCCTACGGCACCTCCCCGAGGGGCTGGGGGGGCTCCTCAACTCCTACCGGCCCCTGGGCCCCGGGGAGTTCGACCCCGGCGTGGACGTGTACGCGCTGCGCGGGGCCGAGGGTGAGCCGGGGGTCCTGGGGGGATTTTGGGGGGTCCTGGGGGGCTTTTGGGAGGTTTGGGGGATTTTGGGGGGTCCTGGGGGGAATTTGGGGGGTCCTGGGGGGATTTTGGGGGGTCCTGGGGGGAATTTGGGGGGTTTGGGGGGATTTTGGGGGGTCCTGGGGGGATTTTGGGGGCTTTGGGGGGAATTTGGGGCATCCTGGGGGGGAGTTTGGGGGGAATTTGGGGGGGATTTTGGGCGGTCCTGGGGGGATTTTGGGGGGTCCTGAGGGGAATTTGGGGGGTTTGGGGGGTCCTGGGGGGATTTTGGAGGGTTTGGGGGGGAATTTGTGGGGTTTGGGGGGATTTTGGGGGGGTCCTGGGAGAATTTGGGGGGTCCTGGGGGGATTTTGGGGGGTCCCTGAGGGGAATTTGGGGGGTTTGGGGGGTCCTGGGGGATTTTGGGGGGTTTGGGGGGATTTTGGGGGGTCCTGGGGGAATCTGGGGGGGGTTTGGGGGGTCCTGGGGGGGTTTGGGGGCGCAGGCAGCGCTGACCCCCCCGCTGTGCCCCCCAGGAGCCCCCCGGCGCGAGGTTTATTTCATGGGGCTCATCGATGTCCTCACCCAGTACGACGCCCGCAAGAAGGCGGCGCACGCGGCCAAGACCGTCAAACACGGGGTGAGGGAATGGGGGACCCCAAAAATGGGGGGCACCCTGAACTGGGGGGCACCTCAAACACGGGGTGAGGGAATGGGGGACCCCAAAAATGGGGGGCACCCTGAACTGGGGGGCACCTCAAACACGGGGTGAGGGAATGGGGGACCCCAAAAATGGGGGGGCAACACAAACAGGGGGTGAGGGAATGGGGCACCCCAAAATTGGGGGGCATCCTGAACTGGGGGAGCACCTCAAACACGGGGTGAGGTAATGAGGGCACCCCAAAATGGGGGGACAACACAAACAGGGGGGGCACCCCGAAATGGGGAGGCACCAAAAACATGGGGTGAGGGAATGAGGGCACCCTAAAAATGGGGGGCAACACAAACACGGGGGGCACCTCAAACATGGGGTGAGGGAATGGGGGCACCCCGAAACTGGGGGGGCACCTGAAACAGGGGTGAGGAAACAGGGGAGCCCCAAAATGGGGGGCAACACAAACATGGGGTGAGGAAATGAGGGCACCCTGAAATGGGGGGGGGGGGGACACCTCAAACACAGGGTGAGGAAATAGGGGCACCCCAAAAATGGGGGGCACCTCAAACTGGGGGGGCACCTCAAACACGGGGTGAGGAAATGGAGGCACCCTGAAACCGGGGGGCACCTCAAACACGGGGTGGGGAAATGGGGGCACCCCAAAATGGGGGGTACCAAAAACACGGTGTGAGGAAATGTGGGGGCAACGCAAACACGGGGGCACCTCAAACATGGGGTGAGGAAATGGGGGGCACCCCAAACTGGGGGGGGGCAACACAAACATGGGGTGAGGGAGGCATGGACTGGAGGGGCACCACAAACACGAGGTGAGAAAATGGGGGGGCACCCGAAATGGGGGGGCACCAAAAACCTGGTGGGGGGCACCCTGAATTGGGGGAGCACCACAAACACGGTGTGAGGGGGTGGCATGGACTGGGGGGCACCCCAAACTCGGTATAGAGGGCACCCCAAACTGGCAGGGCACAGGCTGGGGGGGCACCACAAACACGGAGTGAAGGGGGCACCCCGAAATGGGGGGGGCACGGACTGGGGGGGGACACCCTGAACTGCAGGGATACAACCTGAACTGGGATGAGGGGGGGCACAGACTGGGAGGGCACCCCAAACTGGAGGAGGGCACCCCAAACTGGGGGGTGGCATTTCCAGCTGGGGCTGCCAGGGCTGGCTCCCCCGTGGGTTTTTTGGGGTGCTGAAGGTGGAGACAGAGAGGGGTTGGGGGGACCTGGGCCAAACCTTCCAAGGAGGATTTGGGGGGGGGGGGGGGGTTAAAGCCCCTGGCAGGGTCTGGGGGGGCAGGAGGGGTGGGGGTGTGGGGGGGTTGGGACTGGGGGGGTGCCCAGGTGGGGGTTGGGTCCTGTGGGGGGGGTCTGGGGGAGGGGTGGGTTCCCGGGGGGGGGTGCCAGGAGGGGCTGGGGGTCCCAGGAGTGCTCTGGGGGGTGTCAGGGGGTGCTGGGGGTCGTTCCCAGGGGTTAGGGATGGGGGGACATTGCTGGGGACACCCCAACCCTCACCCCCCCTGCCTCCAGGGCTCAGGGCCCGTGCCACCCCCCGGGTGTCCCCAATCTGGGGACAGGACAGGTTTAACCCTTGGGTGGCACCTTGGCTGGGTGAGCGTCCCCGCCGGGTTTGGGGGGCACTGTGCCCCCCCCAGGACCCCCCTGGGTGCCATGGCCGGGCTCTGGGGGCTCTGGGGGGGTCCATGCCCACCCTCAGAGGGGTTTGGGGGGTCACGTTGGGATTTGGCTGGGTTTTGGGGTGACCCACAGTCCCCAGGCTCTGGGACTTGGAGTCTCCATGCCGAGGGTCAGGGGATTTTGGGGGTCCCTGCCCAGGCTCTGAGAGGATTTTGGGGTCCGTATCCAGTCTCTGAGGAGTTTGGGGGTCCGTGTCAGGGGGTGCTGGGGGTCGTTCCAGGGTCAGGGCTCTGTTCCTGGGGGGTCTCTGAGCCGCTGCCCCCCCAGGCCGGAGCCGAGATCTCCACGGTGCACCCCGAGCAATACGCCAAGCGCTTCCTCGACTTCATCACCAACATCTTCGCCTGAGGGGGGGCCCAGCACCCCCCCCGCGGGACCAACCCCCCCCCCCCCAAGGGGGTGCTGCCCCCCCCCAACACCCCCACAGCACCCCCCCGCAGTGGGGCTCCACTGCTCAAGTGCCTTAACTTTATCCAAGGGGGTCCGGGGGGGGCTCGGCCCCAGCACTGGGGGGGGGTCTGGGGTGCCCCCCCATCCTGCACAAGGGGCTCTGGGACCCTTCTGCCCCCTCCCCAAGCTGGGAGGGGTCAAACACTACTTGCCCCGGGGGGGGGGGAAAAGGGGACCCCCACTCCTGACTGGGGGTGCAGCCCCCACCCCCGTTCCAAATGGGGCTGGGGGCCACTCCCTGCCCCCCTCCGTGTGGGACCTTGGGGGGCTGCAGCTCCCCCCCCTTTACTGCAATTCCCGGGGGGCAGGGGAGGACCCCAGCCCGGTGGGACCCCCGGGGGGGCGGGGCCTGCTGGGCTGACCCCCCTGTCCCCCATTTGTGGGGGGCCTGTGTGCCCCCCAGCCCATTTATGGGGCTCCTTCCCTTGCTCTGTTCTGAGAAATAAATTATTGAACCGGCCCTGCGTGTGTCCCGTTCCCTGAGCCCCTCGGACCCCCCTGCGCCCCTCAAACCCCCCGGGTACCCCCGAATTCCCGGGGACCCCCGAATTCCCGGCTCCATGGCCCCCGCCCCCCGCCGCTCTGGCCCCGCCCCCAGGCGCGTTGCCATGGCGACGCCCTCCCCGCCAGCCCCGCGCGCCGTTGCCATGGCCCCGCCCCTCCCCCGTTGCCATGGCGGCCCCGCCCCGCGCGGTCACGTGAGGCGGCCGCGCGCAGGGCGCCCCCCGCCGCCGGACGCGCCCGCGATGCTGCGCCCGCCCGGGCCCGGTGCGTGCGGGACCCCCGGGACACCCCCGGAACCGCCCGGCATCCCCCGGCCTGCCCCCGGCATCCCGCCCTGCCCCCGGCATCCCGCCCTGCCCGCGGCCCCCGCCCCGGGCCTGCTGATGCCCGCACCGCAGCGACCCCCCGGGCCCCTCCCCGGGCCTGTCCGCTCCTATCGGGCTTCACCGGGACCCCCGGCCCCCTCCCCGGGCCTCACCGAGACCCCCCGGGCCCCTCCCCGGGCCTGTCCGCTCCCCTCGGGTCTCACCGGCACCCCCCGGGCCTGTCCGTTCCTACCGGGCCTCACCGAGATCTGCCGGACCCCTCCCCGGGCCTCACCGAGACCCCCCAGGCTCCTCCCCGGGCCTGTCCGCTCCCCTCGGGCCTTATCGGGACCCCCAGGACGCCTTCGGGCCTTAGCGGGACCCCCCGGGCCCCTCCCCGGGCCTGTCCGCTCTCCCCGGGCCTTATCGGGACCCCCCCGGGCCTTATCGGGACTCACGGGCCCCCCCTCGCGTCTCTCCGGGACCCCCGGGCCCCTCCCCGGGCCTGGCCTGTCCCCGCCCGGGGCCTCAGCGGGACCCCCGGGCCTGTCCCGTCACCGCCGGCTCCGTCCGTCCGCCCGGGCCTCACCGGGACCCCCCGGACCTCACCGGGACCCCCATTCCGGGCCCCATCCCCCACCCTGCCCCCCCTGCATGGAGCCCCTCGGGGATGGGGACACCGGGGGACACCGGGGGGGGTGGGGACACCGGGGGACACCGGGGGGGGTGGGGACACCGGGGGACACCGGCGCGGTCACCCCCGCTCCCCGCGGGCCATGGCCGGGCAAACACCCCTGGGCCGCTCCGGGGGGGCCGGATGGGTCTGGGGGACCCCCAGAGCTGCTGTCCCCCCCATAAGGCCGGGGGTCCCCTGGGGACACGGGGGGTGACGGTGCTGTTGTTATTGTGGGGTCACCTGGGCGGGGGGGGGAAAACGGGGGGGTTGATGAGCCCCCAGATTGGGTCTGGGGGTGCTGGGGGCCGCCTGTGACCCCCTCGTGTCCCCCCCGTGTCCCCCCAGCCCCGGGCTCGTGGCTCTGCTGATCCTCCGTGCTCCGCTCGTGTCCCCCATGGGCTCACCAGGTGGGTGTGGGGGACCCCCCGGCTTCTGGGGACCCCCCCGGGGCTGGGAGCCCCCCTTGTGCGTGGCCCTTGGCTTTGGGGACCCCCTTTGGACCCTTCCCCCCGCCCGTGGGACCCCCTGGCTTTGGGAGACCCCTTTGGAGCACCCGTGGGACCCCCTGGCCGTGGAGCACCCCCGGGTTCTGGGGACCCCCCTCAGTCACCCCCCAGTTTCTGGGGACCCCCTTTGGGCCCTTCCCCCTGGGCTCTGGGACCCCCTGGATTTGGGAGACCCCTTTGGAGCATCTGTGGGACCCCCTGGCCGTGGAGCACCCCCGGGTTCTGGGGACCCCCTTCAGTCACCCCCCGGTTCTGGAGACCCCCCTCAGTCACCCCCCAGTTCTGGGGACCCCCTCAGGTTCTGGGGACCCCCTCAGGTTCTGGGGACCCCCCTCGGGCACCCCCCAAGTTTTGGGAACCCCCCCTTGGGCACCCTCCGGGTTCTGGGACCACCCTCAGGCACCGCCCATATTCTGGGGACCCCCCTCGGGCACCCCACGGGATGGGGGACATTGCTGGGGACACCCCAACCCTCACCCCCCCTCCCTCCAGGGCTCAGGGCCCGTGCCACCCCCGGGGTGTCCCCAATCTGGGGACAGGACAGGTTTAACCCTTGGGTGGCACCTTGGCTGGGTGAGCGTCCCCGCCGGGTTTGGGGGGCACTGTGCCCCCCCCAGGACCCCCCTGGGTGCCATGGCCGGGCTCTGGGGGCTCTGGGGGGGTCCATGCCCACCCTCAGAGGGGTTTTGGGGGGTCACGTTGGGATTTGGCTGGGTTTTGGGGTGACCCACAGTCCCCAGGCTCTGGGACTTGGAGTCTCCATGCCGAGGGTCAGGGGATTTTGGGGGTCCCTGCCCAGGCTCTGAGAGGATTTTGGGGTCCGTATCCAGTCTCTGAGGAGTTTGGGGGTCCATTCCCAGCTCAGAAGCTTTGGGGTCCATGCTCAGTCTCTGGCAGTTTTTGGGGATCCATATCTAGTCTCAGAGGATTTTGGGGGTCCATGCCCAGGCTCTGAGAGGGTTTGGGGGCTCCCTGCCCGTTGTCTGAATTTTGGGGATCCATGCTCAGTCTCAGAGGTGTGTGGGGTGGTCCTTGCCCAGTCTCAGAAGTTTTGGGGTTCTGTGCTCAGTCTCTGGCAGTTTTTGGGGTCCATGCCCAGTGTCAGAGGGGTTTTGGGGTCCGTATCCAGTCTCTGAGGAGTTTGGGGGTCCATTCCCAGCTCAGAAATTTTGGGGTCCATGTTCAGTCTCTGACAGTTTTTGAGGTCCATATCCAGTCTCAGAAGATTTTGGGGGGCCCATGCCCAGGCTCTGAGAGGGTTTGGGGAGTCCATGACCAGGCTTTGAAAGGTTTTGGGGGGTCCCTGCCATAGCTCTGAGAGGTTTTGGGGGTCCATGCCCAGTCTCAGAAGTTTTGGGGTTCTGTGCTCAGTCCCTGGCAGTTTTGGGGGTCCATATCCAGTCTCAGAGGATTTTGGGGCTCCATGCCCAGTGTCAAAGGGGTTTTGGGGGGTCCATGGTCTGGCTCTGTGAGGTTTTGGGGCTCCATGCCCAGTGTCTGAGTTTTGGGGGTCCATGCCCAGTCTCAGAAGTTTTGGGGCCCTGTGCTCACTCTGTGGCAGTTTTTGGGGATCCATATCCAGTCTCAGAAGTTTTGGGGTGTCCATATCCAATCTCAGAGGATTTTGGGGTGTCCATGCCCAGCCTCAGGCTTTGAAGATCCCATACCCAGATTTTGAGGTTCAAAGGGTCCCACGACCAGCCCTTGATGGTTTTGGGGTGTCCCCACCCCATGTTTTTATTCCTGTCAAGGATTTTGGGGTGTTGGGGGCCACCAGGTGATGGTGCCAGTGGGATCCAGGCTCAGGAGGTTTTGGGGGTCCCATGCCCAGTCCCTGGGGTTTTGGGGGTCCCATGCCCTTACCCTGAGGGTTTTGGGGGTCCCATGCCCGGTCCCTGGGGTTTTGGGGTGCCTCAGTGTCATTTGGGATGTTGGGGTGCAGGGGGGCCCCCAAGAGCCAGGCCATGGTGGCAGTGGGGTCCAGGTTCAGGAGGTTTTGGGGGGTCCATCTCCATCTCCTGCTGGTTTGGGGTGTCCATGGGTGTTTTGGGGTGTCCATGGGTGTTTCAGGGTGTCCCTGCTCAATCTCTGGGTGTTTTGGGGTGTCCATGGGTATTTCAGGGTGTCTGTGCTCAATCTCGCGGTGGGGGGGTCCATGGGTATTTCGGGGTGTCCCTGCTCAATTTCTGGGTGTTTTGGGGTGTCCATGGGTATTTCAGGGTGTCCCTGCTCAATCTCTGGGTGTTTCAGAGGGTCCGTGCCCAGTCCCAGCTTTGGGGTGTCTATGGGTTTTGGGGTGTCTGTGCTCAATCTTTTGGGGTGCCCATGGGTGTTTCGGGGTGTCCCTGGGGTGTTTCGGGGTGCCCCGTGTGCCCAGCCCTGATGCCCCCAGGCCATCCCACAGTGTCCTTTGTGCTCTCGAGGGTGTCGGTGCCCCAGCAGGAGTGGGGTGCCGGTGCCAGCAGGGTGCTGTCCCTGGGGATGTGCCCAGCTCTGGGTGTTTCGGGGTATCCGTGGCTGTTTTGGGCTGTCCCTGGGTGTGTTTGGGGTGTCTGTGCTCAATCCCCTGATGTTTTCAGGGTGCCCATGGGTATTTTGGGGTCCGTGTATAATCTCTGGGTGTTTCAGGGCGCCCATGGCTCTTTTGGGGTCTGTGCTCAATCTCCAGGTGTTTTGGGGTGTCCATGGGTGTTTCACAGTACCGTGCTCAATCCCTGGGTGTTTTGGGGTGCCCGTGCCCACTCCCGGGTGTTTCAGGGTGTCCCTGCTCAATCCCCTGATGTTTTGGAGCGCCTATGGGTGTTTTGGTGTGTCCCTGCTCAGTCTCCTGGGTGTTTCGGGTGTCCGTGGGTGTTTCGGGGTGCCCCGTGTGCCCATCCCTGATGCCCCCGGGCTGTCCCGCAGTGTCCTTGGTGCTCTCGAGGATGTCGGGGTGTGGGGTGCCAGTGCCAGCAAGGTGCTGT